CCCCGGGGGGCCGCTGGGGGGGGGGGGGGGGGGGGGGGGGGTGGTCTGCACCGCTATAAACCCCGACGCCGTCCCCTCGGTACATATGTAACTAAGATGGCCGCCTGTACAGGTAAACACTCGATCTTCAGGCTACTTACAAAGTGAATTCACGCTTTTCAAAATTTATCACTTTTATTCCATGTGCTTTGATTTGTCAAAAGTTGGTGAATTTTCTGGAATTAAATTCTACAAAGAACTGTATCGAAGTTTAAAACTGAATAAGAAAATCGTCGTCTTGTCGTCAAGTCCTCAATAAAACGTGAAATTAGTCAGTTTCCGCACGTCGTGGTGGTGCAGTGAAGTTAAAGAAATATACAACAAAGCGTGAGTTGTTGAGTTGTTTTTTTGCCAATCTAAACCTATTATTGCTTTTGCGCTGTTTGCGTTGTCGTAGCGCGTCGTCTTCGTTGCTCCCAATCATGTGACGAGGTAAAACTCACTCTGGCGGCGCCTTTCAGTTCCATTTTCTTACAAAATGCAATTCAATACGTGCCGTCTAAGTGGGTAGAATGAAGACAGATGATACTTTTTGGCAATTTAAAGAACTATATATATGTAAGTTGCAGTTATTGCGTGGCTTCATTCGGGCAAAATATGTTGAGGAAGGAAGCTATGGAACCTCGATACAACGAAGGAATAAAATTAACACAATTCAAATACTTAGGCACTTCATTATCGGGGTTCCCCTGTAAAACTATTGTTTTTGTTCTTTCAAAATTGAGTTTTTTGAATCTTATTAACATAATTGTATTTTCATATGGTGGGCTACTTTACTGATAAAGAAACATATTTAGGCGCGTGCTGATAGAACAGAACATAAAGTTACCCAGGTCTTTTTATAAGAACTCCTTTGTGTCTGTAAGTAATATTTTGGTAATGAATTAAATTCATTTGATATTTTATATTACAATCTTTGAAAGCTCGACGATCTTGCGAATCATTCGCTTTTTGTAGCACGTGAAAAATACAGTACATTGAAATAAAATACAGTTTATTAGTTTCATCCACATGGGTTTTTCAAAACTAATAAACAATACAAATGTAGATAGAAAGCTAATAGACCTTGTCACAGTTTTCGACGCCATCTTGACGAGTAGACAAACGCGTGAGAAATTACAGTGTTTGTATGAGAATCCAATGTCGAATAATTTCCGTAAAACGGCTGTTCTGGAAAAAACATGAACTGTAAACTAAAGCTACACAGAAAAGGATTTTACCAACAAATTTTGGGGGCTGTTTCTGTGATTAAATTTCTCCAGAAGCTTGCTTTAGATTTTCCATATATTTGTCTGCAATTTTTCCCAGGAAATTTTTACGGACAAATGTATAGAAAATATTAAAAAAAAGGTTCTAGGTCTTCTAGAGCATGTAACGCCCTCAAATTTTTTCAGTAGAATCCTTAAGAGTGAAGCTTTAGTTTACAGTCCATATATTTTTTAAAACAGCCGTTTTATGGAAATTATTCGACATTAGATTCTCATACAAACACGATACACTGTAATTCTGTCACGGGTTTGCCTACTCGTCAAGATGGCGTCGAAAACCGTGACAAGGTCTATTTACGAGTTACATGTAGAACGAAAGTAAAAAAAGGTGATGTACATGTTTCTATATATCTATATAAAATGATTGAAAATCACTGAAAATGGAGTTTTTCAGTTTTTTTCACGGACTTTTTGAATAGACTTAATGAGGAAGAGGTTTTTTATCTGGTAGTCCAACTCGTTCCAACGCTTTGCGGCTCCATAGAATTACTGGGAACGTTGGGCTGAGGAAGTTCGAAACCTGCTCAAATCAATGTCATTAGACTGCCTAGTAGAAATCTTATGAACGTCAGATCGTTTAATAAATAATTTTACTAGAAAGATTCTCGTGGACTTGGCTATGAAGACATTTATACATCGTGATGAGGTCACGATGTATAAGGAGATCTTTGACAGGTAACCAGCCAAGATCGTTTAGGGCTAGCGACATCAAACTTCCTTAAACCAGTGAGAATACGGGCGGCAAAGTTCTGAACTTGCTGAAGCTTTTGCATGTCAACGGTTCTGTTTAGTGGTGCCAAACCATGCTGTCGAACAAAAAAAAAGTTTACTAAACCAAGTGAATTTAGAAAAATTAAAAGTATGGATTTATCAAAGAGATGCGGTACTCTATTAATTTTACACAAAGTAGAAAGAAGCGAGGACATTAAGTGTCATTTGAAAAAGTGAGTATCGAAAGTAAAACCGGAATCACGGATGCCCAAATCCTTACAGATCTTGTCAGGAGTCAAGGTCCGTTGGATTAAGAAGTTGTCCAAGCTGCTAGTTTGTTCTGAAAAGAATAAATTTTGTTTTGTCCAGATTAATTATTAACTGATGTTCACAAAGCCATTCTACAACCCGATGGAGATCTTGAGAGGCACTTGCCAATTCCAGGTCGGTATCCAAAGATTTAAAGGAAAGAAACAGCTTAGTATTGTCCATGTAAGTTTCAATTTCACAATTTGAGACGATATTCGGCAATTTATTGATGTAAAGTGTGAACAATAAGGGACCGAGAATCGATCCTTGGGGAACTCCATAACAGACAGGTAACTGTGGCGAAGAAAGCGTGCAGCCTATACGGGCTGTCTGATATCTTTCGGTCAAGTAACTCTCAACCCACTTATATTATAGTGGAAGACTCAGAAGTATCAAACACCTTAATCAAATCGAGTAAGATCATGGCTGTAATCTTTTTCTCATCTACTGCCTTGAAAAGATGACCAGTGACGTGCAGACTTCATGTCTCTGTCGAGTGGAAAAGTCCGATTACCACTCTGATGACGAGTAAGTTTTTGTTTCTTAATAAGATAAGGCATAAACTGGATGGTGCAGCGCAATACCTTTGATGCTCATCCCAGTCTTTACCCCCGGCATGCCTGCAAAGTTGACTCAAGTTCAACTTCGCAGGCATGCCGGCGGTAAAGCTCTGCGATGGCTCTAGTTGCCGGCGGCGCATGTTCTCATTCGTCCGAGAAGTGTCTCAGGCAGTACCGGCGGCTACGTCATCACGAACATCCGGATGGGCACCAACATGGCGGATGGAAACCAACAGAAACATCTGTTACCGAGTTTTTCTACAAAAGCGTGAATTTATTCTTCGAGGAACTCATAAATATTAAATTAATACTTTTTCTAACATATGAACTGTTTAGATAGCAAAACTCCCTGAAATAAGTCCTTTTTTTTAATAACCTACATGGCAGCTCTCTTGGCCGTTAACATGTAATTGCCGCGTCACGCAAAAGCTTAGAAATTCAAGCGTACTCTATGACAAAACCAAGAACCCTTTTGAAGCGAAAATTTGCATGATAATTAGTTTTCAACTACTCTAATACATCGTAAAACTAGAATCCCGGGAGGATCGATAGTTTTGTAGTTTGAATTTTAGTGACGTCAAATGAAAATCAACAATTAATACGTGATGAACACTATCAACGATGGCGTAGACCGGAAGGTCCACATCTGTCACTAGTTTTTGCAATAGACCTTTTTACCGATACGGCGGGCATATTGAATTAATTCGATTTAAGGAGTATATAGGATGCCCAGGGGGCATGAGCACATTTCGTTTGTATTTTCGAGCGCTTTTCGGGACATGTTTCTTTAAGTTTTCTTAGAATAAGAATATAATGGGAAAAAAGATCCTTGTGCCGTGTTTGGATGTAATAATGATCGCCTTTTTCTAGTTCAGTATTAGAAATATGGTCTTTCACCGTATATTTCTCGGGAAAAAGGCGATCATTATTACATCCAAACACGGCACAAGGATCACCCCACTTGTTTAGGAAAAAAAAGTTAAAAAAGAAAATAAATAAAGTTTGATTGCTGGATCGGGAAGAGCTTGTACCCAGGGCGAGAGGGGCTGGGACAAAGAAATCTCTCGCGCCAATCTCCAGTTGAATTTATGCATTTTTCACCGAGTGGATCTGGTACCAATGGAAGCTTCATCAGCGTCCGCCAGATTCTTTCTCCGGTTTCTGGATATTTCCGTCAAAAACTAAAATTATAACGTGAAATCACCTTCCGGTATTCCCCTTAACAATATTATGGAGTATATAGACGAAGGCTGATCGACTTCCTGTTCATTTTCGCCGAGGAACTCGTCGATAATGGTTGTTGCTGGTGGTGGTGAGATCGAAAATGATGTTGTCTTCGTCGTCGAAGGCACTGCAAATTTGCTTCTCGACTTTGAAGACCTCAAGAAAGCCTATATCGAACCTGCAATACAGTAAGTATAACGCCAGAGAGTGCACTATAGTTTTTTTAAGATTCACTTTGTATCGTCGCTAGATTTTGTCTTAGAAGGAGAAAAGGATCGAAATGTAAGCGAGGCGATTTTGTCAAGCTCATCAGCTGAGCTCATTTACGCTTAAATCAAATATACTGTGTGTACAGTGTACGTCGCTTCTAATAGGGGGACGTGTTCACGTCCATGCCAGACTCATATTTTTCATCATTTTATGCTGTAGGATGTTTAGGTGTTTGATTTCGAGAAATATTTGTATTCATATTGAAGCGGAAATATCTCTTTCGTGGTTGCGCTCGCTTTTAAAGTAAACAGAATTATTCTTTAAATTTTATCCAGCCACATGCATCCAATTCGTACTCTCATCGACAAGCTTTGTAAGACTCAGTTTTTTGTTTTATAAAGCTAAATTAATTTTCCTTGCCAAAACAGCAACGATCATCATTTCAATGAAATATTTTCTCCGAACTAACAGGTAGTATAAAATTTTGCGTCGCTTTCAGCCAAGGGCGGTGCAAGGTATCTCAAGTGCAAGGGATGATCGAATTGGGACAAAAATCAAAATCCAAAAAAATCGCTAGGGCTTCAAACAAAACCCCAAAAAATTCCTGGACCAAAATTGAACTCCGAAAAAAACCCATGCCGAATTTCCGAGCCATAAAAATTTCCAGAAAGCACTAAATGATATAACACGAAAAATAGAAACATTAGTAATGGAGTGTTTGTGTTTTGTTATTCATCACACCACCTAGAGTAAGAACCTTTTTCGCATCTGGTGATCATTGTAACAACACTCGAGACACACAAGAGCATATTCTGTTACAACAATAACATTATGCGGAATGACAACTCTACACGTAAACAAGACTACCCTGACCAAGAACATTATGAACAACCCTACAAAGTTATTCACAGATTACCGTTATTAGATAATATGGGGGAACTATCACGAACCTTCAGATTGTTTTGAATACCCCAAAAAATCCCTACTTAAATCAAGCTACCCCAAAAAATTCTTGCCAAAATCTTCCTACCCCAAAAAATCCTGAAATCAAAAATTTCAAACCCCAAAAAATCCTTCAATCATCTCTGTCACTTGAAATCCGGAAAACCCCCACCCCCCTGGGACTTTCAGCTCATCCTAAAGCTTTTAAGGTACATGTATCACAAAGAAGACCTAAAGTGTCACTTTATATGATCTAAGCTTAAAGATAGTTTTATGTCAAACATAAATTCATTTGGTGTAAATTAGCAAGTATTGCATGACTACTAGTTTTCTTTTTGTCTGATGGTTTATGATTGAACCTTTGTGTTACTGATATTAAAAAAAAAGAATCTTCTACATTGAATGACAACAAAATCCAAAGAATGAAAAAAAGATTGTTAAAAATAAAAGAAATTAAACAATCAAAATGTAGATCTTTTTTTTCTACATATACCTTTGATTGTTATCAAGGAAGTAAAATTTTGTTTCTATTACATCCTGTTATGCTAATAGTCATAAAGAAAACCTTGTGATGTTCACGCCAACCAAACATGATTAGTTAAACCAGGTTTGATCGAATCAGAATCTCTTGCAAAATGCTTGCCAAATGTGGAAAGATTTTGCTTGTGAATGAAATACATGTATGGATGTAGGCTCTAAACCTGCCTTTTATTTTTGGGTAAATTTGAAAAAGGTAAACATTACTAAGTGACATGACCTCTATGAGCACAATTTTAAACTTTGTTGAACTAAACGGATTGAAATGTGTTTCAGACTTGTTGTGAATAACAAATGAAATATTGAGTTAATATTCACTTTATTTCTGTGTCAATAAATGCAGTGGTTACCCCCTAAGTAAGAACACCTATTTATATGAACAGGCTGTAGATGATGAGTGAATTCACTGGTAAAATTACTCAACAGGAAGTTTGACATCATTAAGCATTCGTTCATATATATAGCATCATACAAAATTTACAAATTATAGTCATAGACGGAAATTCCCTTGTTGACAATTTGTATTGTTTTGTGTTATATCTTAGCTATTTTAATGGAGGAATCCCAATGGACACAGAGTACAGTTTTGGAGATGAGGTACATACTTTTTGTTTGAAAATAACACATGGCATTTTGTTTCAATTTTGAATGGCTTTATCTGTAATTCATTACTGCGCTTTTGTGAAAAACACGGGAACTTTGAAGTTCAAGAGCCGCCTTCACAATTGTTTTGTTTTTGTTTGTCATCAGTCATTATTACAATCACAAGCAATGCACCTTGAAATATGGAAACACACAAAATGGATGGATATCCACCATGCAGTCACAAATCACAAACCATGACCTTTTGAACCCATTGAAGGAAACTTCTGTTTCCTAAGTGGTCTGCTAAGGTGATTGACGGCATTGAAAAATGCAAATGTCAGTTAGCTTTTGAATCTCAGAATTTGTGTGTTTTTGAAAAGTGCAGTAATCGAGGTAGTAATAAGCGTTATTTTATAGATGGCCACCTTGCTTAGCCAAACTAAGTATATTTTAATTTAGGTTCCTCTCCTGCATCAGAATATGGTCCCCTTACCCCCCCAAAAATGGTAAACAAGTGACAGTAAAGCTTCATTTGCTCAAGGCCTAACCATAACTTTTTTAATTTGACTGCATTCACAGGGGTTTCAGCAGATAACTTAAACTGTTATTTAATTTCACATCACAACTTTAGTGTTACAGAAAGAAGTGTACATAACTGCGCCCAGCGATAACTCCATTCCCTAGAAGTATCAAAAGATTTATAAAAGTGCTATTTTATTCCACAAGTGGATTAATTTGTAAGTTTTCTGCTGTTGCATAACTCAACATGTTTAGAATATTTTACTTTTTCAAGCCTCGAGATTTCAAAATCTGTAGGGGAGAATGCTAATGAGGAAAACATTATTAACAAATATTTCCAATAACTTTGAAGTTAAAGGCTAATACAGTGGAGCCTTGATATAACGAATGTCCAGTAAACATGAGGAAAGACCTTGTTATAATGAAGCCTTGTAATTGCAAACATATATTTTGCCATTCCCTTGTCCCTTTGTTATATTGAGGTACCACAATAGATTTATAACCCACCTTGACTCTGATATCTTCTTTTCAGTATGGTCCAAACCAGTATGGCTTGGTAGTCTATGGAACAGTAAGTCACACTCCTGATCCAGCAGTGCAATGTGTAAGAGAAACAAGAGATGCAAAGCAGATGCTGGAGTTTCTGCAGGAAGTTAGGTAAGTATGCTGGGGGCCGGGGGCTGCGGGCAGGGGATTTCCCCTAGTTACTGTGAGCTTAGTTATTAAAGTGGAATGGTTATGAAACCCGTTAAGTTGAAATCCATTAGGTAATTGAGTAAGTTTAATTTTCAGTGGACAAAAACCTTGTACCAGAATAACTAGCATATTGCATTCTTTTTCACACTTTTCAAGGGCTGTAAATGTTATAAGTTGTATAAAATAACTCCAAAAAAAGGTTTTTATTGGAGCCAGAGAAAACAAACTTTAAAAACCTCAAATTACAGAAATTGAAATCTTATGTGTGACGATTTTACCTTTGTTGTTTTCTCAATTCACAGTTTGACATTAAATTATAGAGTTTGGTTGTTACATATTTATTACAGTAGTCTTTTTGGCACAATCAGAGCCTGTCACTAATAACTGAGTCCTCACTACTATATGCATGACTCTCCGACTGCGTTGATTAACTTTCAGATTTGAGGGTGGTGGCTGTGAGGAATGCAGCTTATTAGCTGAAGCACTAAGTGTAGCTCTTCAGGTTAGTGAACATAAAAAATATGACTCCTTTACCTTTATAATAACACCTGAACAGAAATTTCATATTTCCAAGCAGCCATGTAATGTTCTATTTGTTCTAACACCAATGAAATTACTATTGAAATATTTTTTTGCAGCAAAAAATTAATGTGATTATGTTATGTAGACAGCAATGGCAAATAGCAGCAGTGATCTTTTCATGTTTGAGATAACATTTTTTCCCACGGATGAAGATACATCAAAATCAGGCTAGACATATTTATTTTGCTTCAGTTGGTAAATAGCACGACAGCATTCAAGGTGAAATGAAAATAGGTTTTCCCATTACCATGTATTAGCTGTGGAGAATGTATGAGAGCTGCTATTGGGCCTCAGATTTCAGGTTACTGTACCTTTAAATAGTGTAAATGGATTTGTGTTTTGAGTTACTTCAAACAATAAACCAAATATTTTTGTGAACAGATATTTGATGAAAGAACTCTTCTGAGGGGTCAAACCTCTAAGTAAGTGGCATTACTTCATCATCAATCATCATCATCATTATTGTAATGTAGTTAACCTATTTACTATAGATTCCAAACGTGAATTACCGGTAAATTGTAATATGCATGTTAAATAGATTATTGGGTTTGTAGGGGATTTTTAACCCTTTGCCTACCAAGGACATATATATACGCAGGGGTTTCAACAAAAATTGAAGTTGCCAGCAGGTTTGAAAAAAGTAACCGACTGTATCAAAAAGAGGCTTTTATTTTACTCCCCTTCTTCTAGATGGGTCTGGGGGTCTGCACCTCTTGAAAATTTCGAAATGTCAATGCCCTGAAATGCAGTTTCCAGCATTCTGGGCACTAAATTGAGTACAAAAGATAATGTATTTTCAATCAATTTGGTTAGGTAACGCACAGTAAGTCCAAAACTTTTCTTAAATATTTTAAATCTGAAGCAAAAAGTCTGTCTAGGTCCAGCAAATTGAATTTTATTGTAAGTTTTGACAGAATCTTTCTTTAATGTAACACTCTATTTCTAGCTTCCAATTTAGGGGAAAAAAGTAGCTGACTTCTCTGAGCAAAGAAGCCGACATGTTTTGTCGGTCTTCAGTGCTTATTGAAACGCCTGTATACATCCTGTGTGAGGTTGCTCAGCGATGCCTGGAGGACATACATGTTACACCAAAAGGTCAAAATTAAATTCAGGTTGAATTTTTTTAACCTTTTTTAACCTGTATTAAATTTTGACCTGCGACATATATATACATTCTCACACAAATGAAATCACCTACAGTAAAGTCCAGTCATTCGAGTTGCCTTAAAATTAATTATGAATTCTGGTTGTTGAGAAATGACCTCCAGTTGCTGGGTGTTTTTAGCTCTAGTAGGCAAAATAAAACCTTTGGTTTTCAAACCAGGTGATTTTCCATTGCTGTAGCCTTAAATAGCTGTGAAAATAGTGAGTAGCATTATTTTCTTTCAATTTTTCTCTTGAACAACCCTGCACCTCAAGTAAGTACTTTTTGTTCATGCGCCAAAGATGATTGCTCAAGGGAGAGTTGGATATTAGCTACCTGAGGAATAATATTGTGTTTGCTTTGTTGATATTTGTAGAGGAATTGTCCGTAAAAGCTGCATAGTGGTTTGTAACTCTCCTCCGTTTACTTTGCCAAGTCGTGAGTGTGGCTATGCTGATGATTATTTTGACAAGACTGTGGAGCAACTGGCTGAGGAAATGGGAAAAAAGGTGATGAAGAAAATGCTGATCATAAGTTACACTGACAATAATTTTACTCCTTTTGTAGATCATATACTGAGGCTGAATGTTCAGATAAAAAAAAAGACCATGTAAGTGGTAGCCTCCCCGCAGACGTCCTTTGGGGTTCATTTGTCACACATACAAACGAACCCCAAAGGATGTCTGTGGGAAGGCTATGTAAGTGGAGGCAGCATGGCCGAGTTAGAGAGCGCTGGACTTGTAATTCGGAGGCCCTAACTTCAAGTCCTGCCCTGACGGCTAGCTGGATTTGTTCTTGGTAGTCAAGAGTGCAAATCCTCATCCATGCTTCTAAAATGGCCAACTGGTTTGCCTCCTTCCAGTTGGGATGTCTTGTCCATGTTGTTTCATTTAAGTTATTTGTTTCATTGTCTCTGTAAAGCCCCACAAGGGGAGAGGATAATCAAAGTATTATAATTACAATAATAATAATAATAATAATAATAATAATAATAATAATAATAATAATAATAATAATAATGATAATAATAATGATAATAATAATAATAATAATAATAATAATAATAATAATAATAATAATAATAAATTAATAGTTCACAGTCCGCGTTTTACCCTGACCAGTTTGTATTCGCTGGGAATTTTTACTCTGAACAGAGATTGATTTTGGGATTGTATTGCTTTATTGTCCAAAAAAGTTTAGTTTCAAATGAGTCTCTTTTTATCTTTCAGAAAGGAATAAATCTCTCCATCATTGCACCAAGGAAAATACCTGCACTTCAGAGAGTCTTTGAAAGGGTCAGTTTTTGCTGCGCCAACCTGCGTTTCACGCTCAGCCTTTGTTAGTCTGTCAAATTGATATGTAGCACTGTATACTAATCGTGAAGTCAAAGCTCTCAGAGTTGACCCCTTTAGATAACCTATCTTGTGGTTTTCTCGTTGGAGGTTACCGAACAAGTGCAGTAGTCCGTAACAATGAGTTTAATGCGGCGTGTGATATGCGTGTTATCGGCGTTTTAGATCCGCAGGCGTATGACACACGCGCGCATAATGCATGTGAGTCGGCAGGTATCGTATTTTATTCGATTAAGCGCCTACCCTCAAATTGGCACCCACCTCGAATAAGCGCCCATCCTGTTGGGAGGAAAATTTAACAAGCGCCCACCACGTTTGTGGTTAACCTTAGAGAAGAAAACCTGGCAAATTGGTCGGTCGTTTTTCCTTATATAACCTATAAGCCAGAAACAGAACCATTTTGTTTTCCTTTGGGGAACCAGGCTGTTAACTTTGCTTGAAAACTGTGCCCGGTAAACTTTTTGGTTTTCTCAGACAAGCAAACGCCCGCGAATCTCAACTTTGAAGCTTACTTTCTTTTATTAATGTTAGTCTGGTATTTATTTTCAATGTCACTTGCAGTCTCTTACAGTTGAAGGTACCGCTGTTTTGTCCAAAGATTATTCAAAGGATCCTAACCACCTGGTGTGTATTCAGGGCCTAGATTTACCAGGTGAGCGCTGTTTGAATCTCATACTTGAATAGACCTTATTCACGATACCCGCCGTTTTTCCACGTGCTCTGATGGGATAAAAGCAATGTCACTTAGTATTTCAGGGGGCAAACAAGTGATAAAATTTGCCAATACGAGAAATCGCGGTCGATTTTGTTTTTTTTCCTCTGAAAAAGGAGACGACAATTTTAGTTATGCAAAATCTACTGTAACTTGGATTTCGACAAGATTTATGTCGTTATTGCTTGCTGCGAGGACATCTGCGGTCGCTACTGTATACAAAAAAGTGACAATGACCACTTTGACCCATAATTTGCCATTATTTTTTCTTCTTGAAGATTTCAAGTATTGTGGCTACTCTGCTACATGTATCTATGCATGCATTGTGAATTCCGTGCTGGAGCCCTTTCACTTTTACTCATGCTTGTTGTTAATGTCAGTCTGATCGGTGATTGTTGCATTCTAGTGACATCAGTAAACCAGAAATCAGATGTGAAAAATGCACAAAGTATAACAGATTTGCCAAAAACTATCTCACAGATGGCTGATCCCACTAACATGAAGTCTGTTCCATCAGCTGGCAGTCCGCTGACAAGTAATGGTGCGTTTTTTTCTTAAGGTGCGGTAAAACGGGCAACAAAAGCGTGCAACTAGTTTTGCGACCACGGTTGCAAAACGAGTTGAAGAGTGATGTTGCGCGTTTTACTACCCACGAATCAAACTGTCTTGCAACAAATCAGGTTGCTGCAGGTTGCGAAAAGTTGTTGCAGATGGCAGAAAGTAGTTCTACTTTTTTTCACAAAATCTGAAAATGTTCGGCGTTTTATCAAACCAAGGCAATCTTGTCTTGCAGCAAGTGACTTAACACCCGTATATGGCGTGACTCCCGCGTAATTTTATCCATTTAGAAGTTCGTATTCACACAACTTGCAAGGCAGGTTTGAGCGCGGATGATAAAACGCGCAACGTAGCTTTTCAACTCGTTTTGCAGCGTAATTGCTAAACAAGTTGCAGTTGCATGGTATTGTTGCTCGTTTTATCGTAGCTTTACAAGGGCCTGTTCACTAAAAACAGATTTGAAGGGTGAGGCGGGCGGATGGTCCTGATCCCGCATTTCCGCTCTTTCTGTCATCGCCACCTCGCTGTCCCTTGCCCAAATTTTGGCGAATCCTGCTTCCCGTGTAGCAGTCAAATCCTGCATCCCGTCAACGTTTTCCCGAATCCTTCACTGTATTTTTTCAATCCCGGAATCCGGATTCTGAGAATACCCTTCCATACCCTGTAAAAGTAGTCGACGTGATAAATCACTTCTTATTGGATGAGAAAATCCTTTGCATTATCAAGCGAAGAGAGATTTACCTATGGAGGATAGAGACTTATCTAGACTTAACCACAAGACGACCTTTTCTGATCTGCGAACGCGGCGAGGCGCGAGCCAGGCGTCTTCTCCCCTGACCAATTAACCAGCCAAAACGAACTTTTAGAAAATCGTCGTTTAGTCTTGGACCTGCTCAGTTGTAGTCGATCACAAATGACATAGAAAAATATACTACTGCCTCTTATCGCTCGATCGTGGAAAGGTTTCCGTTTATTAAGACCCAGATCATTTTGTGGGACAAAAGAAAAATACGAGTTGCTGTTAGGATTTGGGTAGGCATTAGTGGTATCCATTCTGTTCTGTGTCTGCCACCTATCGAGATCCGGTCGAACGTCGATTCGCCCGATGTGTATTTGATTTTTGCCGGCATAGTATTAACCCTTTCACTGCCAAATTTAGCCAAAAGCAAATTTCGACCAAATTTCGAAATTTCATTTGTTGCATTTCGAAAAACAAATATCACCATGTGTAAGTACAGGCAGAGAGTTTTCATTTGAATGGTCAAATTATAGGAGTTGGTTCGCAGACTCAAAGTTAGAGTCACCTTACAAAACTCCATTAAGCACTCTTGCAATGAAAGGGTTAAAACTTTTTCAAGTTTCAATTTATGTCCATCCTTGCCATCCGTTGCAACAGACGACAGGAAACATTTTCAGTGCGCCAAACATAGTCTACATACTTTACGGACTCAAATTTTAGAACCACCTTATGAAATTCTGTCATTCACGCTGGAGATAAATGGGTTCAGTAATAATAATAATGATGGTGTTAATGATAAAAAATAATGATGATACAAATGATAATAATAACAACAGTGATAATCACAATAACAGTTGATATTGATAATGATGGTGATGGTGATAATGATGATGACGATGATGATGATGATCACTATTATTATTTTTCAGTTTTATCAGTATTTTTAAAGTTGCTTTTTTCTCTGTTTCTTTTTTAATTTAAAGTCAAAGAGAGTCCAGAGAAAGCACTAAAGAAGCCGAACAGTGTTGGAGTCACAAGTATTCGTCCGCAAATTGCTGAAACCAAACCACAACAAACCGCATCCAAATTTTTTGGAGTTACACCATCACCTAACGTGTCGATAACTCCGGTATGAAATGATATTAACTAGAAAATCAAACTTACGTTGAAAACTAAGGAAAGCAAACATATGAACAAGTCGTAGAAGTTTAGAGTATCGATACCAGAAAGAGCAACGGGGGCTTCGGCAACACTAAGAAAAGTGTCGTCTCTTGAAAACCGTGAACGTTTGTCGGAATTACTTTGGTCTTCACCTTGGCAGTTATTGTAACCACCCTTTTCTTTATAAAACACCAGCTTTAGATCAGCCACCGGCATAATACCACCCATTTTAGTTTACATGAAGTAAGACGTATTTTCACTCTTGAAAGGAAATGAATAAAAAGCTCGATTCATTAGCTTTGTTAGACCCATCAGTGTGGATATCTCTGTCCAAAGGCAAGCGCTTTATGAGCTCTGTTATACTGTAGATGGAAGCAGTATTTTAAGTGGTATTTCCTTGGGGTTTAAGAATAAACCGGTCCGCTAAAAGTCCATGACGTAGCTGTAGTATGGGAGTTACTCGCTTCGGGTTTTGGGGCTCCTGTTTTACGAATTAATTGTTAATTTAGTATTTTTGACTGATTTTCTTGTAGGACGGTACCGTGATATCTGGCGTGATGAAGGTCAACCCTCCTAAACAAACGCTTCCCTCAGGGCAGGGCAGTAATTTAATGGCTGCCAAGCACCACGCTCAGCAGATTCAGAAAATTGCATCAATACAGCCTCTCAGTCAGTGTGGGTATTTTTAAATGGCTGCTCGTTTTTCATACCACATTTTTGATGTGCCTTAATTCAGCGGAAGCCAGCCATACGACCCCTGTTAGTGTAGCCTCCTACGCAGACGTTCGTAGGGCTTCGTCACGCGTTTCTGCCCCACTAGTGGGACAGGAACGCGTGAAGAACCCCTAACCCCTCGTTCGCATGGGAGGCTACCATTAGTGCGAACACCTCGTTATTGGCCTTTTTCCCACTAGACACGGATTATTCGTCCGAGACGAGTTATCCGTTGGATAATTCGGTTAGTCAGTTAATACGTCTTAATCATGGAACTGTTTTTTTTTACGAATAATCCGCCTGACTTAATCCATCTGTTTATTCGTCAATTTTGTTGGATATTGAGGATATTTATCCGTCTCTAGTATGAAAACAACCATTTTGATCACCCCAATATTACGACTCGGCACCCCGTTACCGACCACCCTCTTATTTCGACCACTCTATTATGATCCTCTATTATTACGACCACCACCATGTCATTCTAAACCCCCCCCCCCCCCAAACCCCCCTTTTATAACCTCCCCGATTTTAATTCCCCCCCCCACCTTTTAACCACCCCATCTCACTCTTCTTCCCTTAATTTAAACCTTCCTTCCTCCATCCACATTCCACCACATACTCCCCCCCTCCACCTAATTTTTTTGGTTATTGACGATCTTTATTCGTCTTTCTTATGAAAACACCCATTTTGATCACCCCCATCTTTCGCCTCGGCCCCCCCTTACCCCCCCCCCTCTTTTTTCGGCCACTCTATTATGTCCCCCCATTATTTCGACCCCCGCCACGTCATTCTAACCCCCCCCCCCCCCCCAACCCCCAGTATTATAACGTCCCCGATTTTAAGTCCACCGCCAACGTTATGACCACCGCGTTCACTTCTATCTCACTTATTTTAAGACCTCCTGCGCTGATCAACGCTCCACCAACTGACGCTCGCCTGCCGAAAAGAAAAGAAATGGAAAACCTCCTTTCATTAACGTTTTGCTTTTGACACAATGCCAAATCTATAAAAGAAAATACAGTTGAACCTCTTTAATACGGACACCGAAGGGACAGAGCGAAGTGTCAGCATTAGAAAGGTGTCCGTATAAAAGAGGTCACTATGATGACGTCACTTTAATGACTCCACTTACAGTTTTAAGTGTCCAGTAGCTAACAGCAGGCTCACACTCGTCTTTAAACTGCATTTAAATTTATTAATTCACTGTAAAAAGACATTGTCTTTCAGTAGCGTAAAACATTGCACATAGCAGCTACAAAGTAAGAACAGTCGTAGACAAGTCACTGTTTAAAAAAAAAAAACGAGCTACAGCGCAATGCTGAGTGTAAAAAGTCGTAACGTAAAGCACCATTCTGAGAGCGTCTTTCACTATTTTGCAAGTGTAGTAAACAGTAACTAGAGTACAAAATGTAATAGAAAAGATCTTTATGCTATATGTAGTTATTCAAGCCTTAAAAAAGTCGGTTATGTTCCTCTGTACACCTTTCGTAAATCGTTGTTTGATATACAGCGACTGGGCTTTTGAAATCTCCTTGCATAGCTCTTCAGCCAGACGGGATTCACCCTGTGCAGATTCACCTGATCGGTATTCGGGATTCACCTGATCACTGTAGTGTCCGTAATAAAGAGGTTAAGTTTATATGAATTTACTCTCTTGGGCCGAGATTTATTGTCCGTTGTCCGTGTGAGAGAGAATCCGTATTATAGAGGTTATTTTTAAAGAAAATTTATGAGAATTTTGTTGGGACATTGGCAACTGTCCGTAATAGAGAGGTGTCCGTAATAGAGAGGTGTTCGTAGCGCGAGGTTCGACTGACCCTGTAGAAAGAAAAAAAAATGAATTCATTTTCAAAAAACAACAAAAAAACAAAAACAAATGCCTGTTAGTGTGGACTTGGTATTAATCTGTTTTTCCGCATTCTGTACAGTTCAAACCCAGACGCAAAGCAGCGGAGCAGCGGCACCTAACGCGGGGCAAGAGGCTGTGCTTAACACTCAAGCACAAAATTGGCCACAGGTACACAACCAACCACAGCAAAGGCCAGTTCCCCCACCTGGTGGTCAGCCTGTGACGCAAGATATGAACCCGACTCAAGGATCACAGAGAGCTTTGGCTTGGACAGGACACTTGGAGTGGCAGGATACTGTAAGTTGGTTCATCGTGGATGATTATATGTTTCTGGGAAACTGCCCACCTGCCCCTCCCCTAAGCCAATATTAACACTTACTTCTGACTTAGGTCAAAACGTTCTTCTGGGGGCGTTATTGTTTGCTTGTATTGTCTCTTTTTGTTGTACGTAATCTGTGCCTCGGTACAAACAGAAGGAACCATTTGGACACGTTCCCCTCTGCTCAGCGCCAACCATATTTCCATTCTTTCAAGGAACTGGGCGACTCAGAAAAATCGCGAGAAGGTTAAAAGGTGCAAGAATACCCAGGATTGAGCTGCGAAGCTCCTTAATGCATTTACCTTAATTTTTGTATTATTTAACAGGTGCGTGATCCGAACGGCCCACAGCAGAGAATAACTCGTTCCCTGGCCTGCCACGTGTCTGTTGTGCCTGGAGACTCGCTGTAAGTACTATTATTAGAGATCTTTACATTCTAAGGCGAGTACGACTACGAGTACGAGATTTTCTCAATACTAAGTAGTGTACACGGGTGAGCCAGCGTCATTTTGGCGGGAAAACGTGGTAGCCGTCGTCATTCTACTACGAGTTTTCGCGCGAATGTCGTGGTGTCGAAAACAAGATATCAAATGTTAGAAGTTTTATCATTTTGCGATCGGGAGAGCGCGTAACCTCCTTCACTAAAGATAACAATGCTATAAACTGAAAAGTGAAGCTTTCTGGAAGTTTATCTTTAGAGAAGACATGAAAAAACTTCAAGTCTTCAAATCCCTTACTGGTAGTCGTCCTCACATTGGAGTGCCCCACACTCACTTGTCTCTGGTTAGAATGCCATAAACTATTTCCCTGCCTCCGAGAGTCCTTGTTTCAATTTCAGGCAAAAGCGGGGTGCTTATTGTATTCAGGGAATTTGGGACAGTTTTCTGATTTGCTTCTTTCGGCCAAAGCGTGGCCAAATAGGTAACTATTGGTTTGTACAGAAATATTGTGCATAGTTGGTAAAGAAAATGATACAACAATAACATACGAAAGAAAAGTGCTATTAGCAGCTCGCCACAAGTATTCGTCAATTCTTGACTTGCAACTACGTGACAAGGCGGCCATGTTGGTGGTGTGTTGGTGGTCAATGCAATAGAACTTTTTCTCGAAGAATTTACACGAAAATTGAGTTTAGTTCCCAGAGGAGAGAAATGTTTTGTTCTTGACCACCAGCATGGCCGCCGTGACGTCACGTGGAAACCAGCAATACGTTATTTCTGTCGTGTTCGCCAAGTGAAACGGCCATTAAAGTGAAGAACTGCTCTTAAGGAGGTACTTTATAGTTTAGTCATATTGATTTAATTAGTGGGGTGTTTATTTATGGTGAAAGCGTCATTAAGGCTTCTTGAAAATCTAAATGTAGACGGATGAATGGAACACCACCATTTTAAGGACCTTCCTTCTATTGCGTTACTTATTTTTTTATCATTTTTTATATTTTGCCTTACAGCAAAGCAAGTAACTGGCCTCCAAAGCTTATCATGCAGCTCATTCCACAAAATCTATTGGTAAGTTGACAAGTTTGTACTTTGGGTAAGGTTCAGTGAGCTGCCGTCCCCTCTCCCTTGCATCCACCTTCCCCTCCCCCCATGGTGCCCTCTCTTGATCAGAGAAGCCCGCTACCTCCCGCAGGGGCGAGACTTGGCCCTACAACATCCCGTCCTTGTTGTTATGTTGGTAAACCAATAGAAGCTTCATTCTGTGGTTTTTATAGACCAATTTTTCTGTTTTCTCCTAGTCCACACTCGGACCTCTACTACAAAACTCCAGAACAGTGGCATTCCATTTTGCTGCTGATGATCCCACGTCTTTGAGAGCTCTGTACAGAGTCATGGCGTCCAGTGGAGTTAAATTTGTAAGTACAGGGGACTTCACTAAATATATCTGTCACAGGACTGAGGATTTTTTGCAGTTTGTAGGTGATAGTCTGCAATATTCCATAACGAGGATTTCCGTTTGGCTGGTGTCTCATGTAAACCAACTTTTGTAATTGACCACTGCAGAGAATACAACTAAATACCATAATATGCTTTGTTGGTGACTCAAAAATTTTGCATAAGCATAATTGTCTTCGGTTTCTCCTAGGGCCTGTTTACATGAGGGTGGGGGGCCGCAGGTAGGTGTGGTAACATGTGGCTGGTTATCCCACCCAACATGTAAACGTGATCCCATCAAAATGAGAGATTATATGGACAGGCGGGTTACGCCACCTAAGCGGGTTACCTCACCTTCTTGAGGTCCCCCACCTCCGTGTAAACACGCCCTTAGAAGTTAAAATGGCCCCAAGAGTAACTGAAAACAATACTTTTGCAAAATTGTGGAGTGACCAACAAAGCGTATTATGGTATCTTGTGGTATTTTTTGTAGTGGTCAATATCTTTTGTTCTCTGCACGATTTGCACGTGTAATGCATCAGCTCCTCGTAAATTTGCGTACACTGCACGTGCAGTTCGTGCAAGAAATAAAATAAAATGAAATAAATAAATAAAACACTTCAAAATTAAGGTTTAGATGAAGCACCACCCAAGCGGCAGTTTAAAGAATATTATGGTATTTACCGCTCTGGCCAATATTATGCTTTAATGATAACGATTAATGACTATTCCGAAGGAGGACTAAAAATGATCGACATTGCTTCTTTTAACAAATCTCTTAAAGCCACATGGATCCAGAAATATCTGGACCCTGAAAGTCGCAGTAAATGGAAGCGACTCTTTGATTCCGAACTTGAAAGAAATGGAGGCGAAGTGATACTAAAAGGAAATCTCAACAAAAAAGATGTTAACAACTTAAAAATATCAGACCCTTTTGTGAAAGAAATACTTGTAATTTGGTCAGAAGTTTTTTTCCGGGAAACGATAGTATCTGAAGAACATCTTTTGTCGTCACCTTTGTGGCAAAACTCTCTGATAAGAATTCAGAATAAGCCTGTTTTTTATAAAGACTGGCTTGCCAAGGGTATTACGCAAGTTAAACATTTAATGGATGAATCCTCCAATTTCTTTTCCCTTGCTGCTTTTCAGATTAAATATAACTTGCAAGTTCGACCTCTAACCTTCTTTGGATTAATCTCAGCAGTCAACCGTCTACGGAGACAAAACACCAAAACCCAATCTAAGTATGAAAATCGCTTTTCAAAATTTCTTATGAGTCAAAAGCCATCTAAATTTATCTACCAAGAAATTGTGTCAAAAAACTGTGAAAGACCAATTTCATGTCAAGAAAAGTGGCGCAAAGACATCAATCTTAACCCAAAGGAAATTATTAATTGGAAAGTCGCTTATCAAACATCCTTTCAATGCACAAAGAGCAGTAAACTTATCACTTTCAACTTCAAATTGTTACATCGCCGGTTACCAACTAACTGTTTCTTAAAAAAAGTTGGACTTAGAGAGGATGATAAGTGTTCTTTTTGTAATAAGGAAACGGAAAACTTGATACACTTATTTTGGAGATGCGAAAAAACAAAAAATTTTTGGGATAGTCTTTTTAAGTGGATGCAGTCTTGCCAACTTTCTTTAAGTGAACATAATTACTTACACATAAATACGGCTTTGGGTCTGAGGCCAGATAGATCTAAACACAAACTCCAAATCAATTTTTGTTGCTTACTTGCCAAGCACCATATCTGGCTTTGTCGCTCAAAAGAACACCCCCCCAATTTAAACAACTTTTTACATTATTTGAAACACATTTATCAAATAGAAAACAATGCCTCCACTGTCAAAAATAAATGGGAACCCTTGTTGCCTTATATAAGCCTTTTGACCTGAGTCTCCAAAACCTAATTAAATATAAATATCTTCTCTACATCTCTTTTTTGTTTTGGTTTCGACTGTGCCCTTGTGCTCAAGGAAAAAAAAAGGAAACGAAAAAGTAGGGAGAGAAAAAAGAAAAAAGGACCAGATGTATCAACTTCGCTATTTGCTTTTAGCCTGCTGCTCTCCTCTCAATTGATGTTTTTTTTTTGTTGTTGTTGTTGTTGTTTTGTAGTTTTTCTTTCTTTTGTCACTTTTAACTTGTATTTAATTTGTTGTTTGTTAAAATAAAAAATAAAAAAATAATAAAAAAAAATATTATGCTTTACATTAGCATGGCCTTTTTTCAGGCTGGGTGCGTACATTTCCCGCCAGTTCCTCAGTGTGACGTCAAAGTCCTACTTTTAATATTCAGCCCCAAGAAGCGAGCATTTGTTGGATTAATTCCTAATGAACAGGTTAGTAGGGTTCAACGAAGTATTAAAACTTAATGCTTTTTTGAGGTGTATTGAGCAGAGTGCTTTTTACTGCAACCGCTATTTCTATTATACTGCATCAAAACCAAAAAATAACTTTTTTCAGTCACTCGACCTTTTGTTAGCCCAGGATTATCTAAAAAAAAAAAGAAAAAAAAAACTTTCTATAACAGTTGAAGCAAGCCTAACAGTAGCGGACGTTTCGATAATCTCTTGGTCGTTGTTGTTTTCTTTTTCCTTTTTTAACGTTCAACCTATTTGATATTGAAGATTAACCTCAATGTCATTATCTTGACATTGGGATTAATTCTGAAACGTTGCAGTCTAAAACCAACGCTGGGTGCCTTGTTGATTTCTTTTCTTTTTAGAAAAACTTTGTACTCTCAAATTGCGCTTGAATGACAAAACAATACAGTGAAACCTCTATTTAGCGGACACCCTGTATTAAGCGGAAGAATATTTCAGTTTTTTTTCCAAACGTTTCTTGCCATATAGTGGACACTTTTATTCAGCGAACACCAGCAAAGATCCCGCTGGTATCCTCTTACGTAGTTTTAGTTTATGAGACAGCTGTGTAAAATGAACCACATTAGACAAATTAAACCAAAGTATTTATGTTCCCTTTTACTTCTTTAGGGAAACTTTGTTGAAGGAATCAGGGTGAGTTATGTTTCTTCGGTATTTGTTTTTTCTACTTTTCTGGACCAGAGTGGTTTCAGTGGTCTCGCGGTTTCAGCAAAATGCAAAATCGTCAGACATTTGTAGGAAAAAAAATACTGAAATAACCACGTATTAAGGCCTGTTTACATGAAGGTGGGGAACCCCAGGTAGGTGAGGTAACATGTGGCGGGTTACCCCACCTAACATTTAACCGTGATCACATTTAAATGAGAGACTATATGGACAGGCGGGTTACCCCACCTAAGCGGGTTACCTCGGCTACCTGGGGTCCCCCACCTCCTTGTAAACAGGCCCTTAGAAATATCGAATAGCCAAGCCTGGGCGTGGATTAGCAACATTGGATAAGATTTAAGCGAATTGCAATGGCGTGAACTTTAAACATCAACACGGCTTTGTCATCTTGATCTGAAGGGGCTGTTTGACGGCTGTCTAGTTCATTTTGCTTATGATAATAATGATGTTAAATAACAATGATAATGCAATTTTGCGTCCTTATTCGCCTTGAAACTTGCGAAATTACTGAATACTCGCATTCAAATTTGTCGCTTTGCTGACCGGATGATGAATAATTAACAATTATTCCTCGAGCCCGAATGGGCTCTGAGTATCGGCCTCATGGGCTATTGACTCAGACGCCGTGAGGGCGAGAGGAATAATTGTTTTAGTGAAGTCCAACTAGTTGGTCAGAAATATCGAGACAAAACAACTTTACATAGCAAATCGCGATTTAGCCGCCATTGTTTTGGTTTTCATAGCCGGCACTTTTCGTCACTAGTGGGCTATAACATACCGTAAAATTCCGAAAATAAGCCCCTCCACGTATAAGCCCCTTCAAATATAAGCCCCCCAAACCGGTCACGTACAAAAACCTCCCATTAAATCGACCCTCCAAATCTAAGCCCCTGTAAGCCCCCCCCCCCCCCAGGGGCTGGCGATTGGAAAATTGCCCTCAAATACAAAGTAAAACAAAGCAAAAAGGGTAAATTTACTTCCATCTATAAGGCTAGCCCAATCGATTTTGAGACGCAAATTTCCCTCTGTAGAAAAGCCCCTCCGAATATAAGCCCCTCCAAAAATAAGCCCCTTAAAAAGGGCCTTTGTAAAATATAAGCCCCTGGGCTTATTTTCGGAATTTTACGGTATAGCCTAGTAGTAGCTCAACCAACCAGAACGCAACATTGATAATAGACCACTGGTTGGAGTTTACTAATTAATGATGTCCACGGTTTCTGCGCGATGATAATTTGAGAAAAGGTGTAATCAACATGTGACGAGCGCAGGACAAAGAAAAATCTGAGTCCCCATCAGGAATTGAACCTGTGACCTTCCGCACACCAATTTGTGTGTCTGTTTGTTTTTTGCTCTTTCAGACTGTTGTCCAACGGCACAAACTTGAGCAGGTTGCAAAGGTACTTATGTTGGTGTAATTCGTGTGAAATGTGATAGTTAATGACAAGAGTGCCTATAGACCTCTTTCATAATGGAGACCTTTTAATATATTCTTTTATGTGTGATAATTTGCTAACGAGGTTAGAAGGGCTAACTATCATGCAGATAAAAGAATACATTAATAGGCCGGTCGCCATTATGAAAGAGGTCCATTTTTGTGCTGCTGAACTAGCTTGTGTACAGCAGCCCCCTCGAACTAAGTTAAGAGAAATTTTAAACAAAATTTTGTCGTCCAGTTGCTTTTAAAACATTAGTGGCTTTTTTCACAGAAACCCAGTTATGTCAACCAAAATGACTGTCCATAGTTGATAAAAAGGTAACTGATAACTAACCCTTATCTGACCTGGGTGTGAAACCAAGATGACTGCCTTTTGATGGACTCCATAAATATGCGGCACTGTTAACGGTTTAAGGCAATCATATGGAGTTTAAGCAACGACGTTTTTGAGCGAAGCACGTCAACCGTAAGTAGACTTTTTGACTCACTTCCGGTTGACTCAAAAACGTCGCTGCCGAATCTCCCTATGACGGTAACGTAACATTTTATTTGCCTCAGTTTCAACAAATTCAAAGACAGCGGATATTGCATCAAGCCGCTCTCCAACAACAGCAGCAGCAGCAACAACAACAGCAACAACAACAACAACAACACCAACAGCAACAACAGCTTCGGCAACAGCAACAGCAGCAAACACAGCAACAAACTCAACAGCAACCACGGCCTAAGGGCTTCGCAGGGCCTGGCATGACTCCAGCGCAGGTTTTTTAAACTAAAAGTTCTCCTTACTTGATTCCAGGTTTCTTTTAGTTCTTGTTGGGGGAAGAGGCATAAGAATCCCAAGTTTTCTTTGTAGAGATCCGCTTCTCCTTCGAAGTCCAAAATCACGCAAAATAATTTTGTATTATAAAACGAGTTAGAAGTTATAAATATACGAAAATCATACATGAGAAGTGCGGAGTGAAGAGTAATATGAAAGAAGATCATCGCAGTTATAGACGCAACTTCTGCAGTTTCGAAAAGAAAGCCTCAAAAAAGACTCAGGCTTGTACGAGTTAGGTAATGAATTTGTCGCACCAAGTCTAATTTCTTAGGCCCAGTTCAAACGTCAATCTTTTCATGTACCGAACCTAATCCCTTGAATTTAGTACATGAAGAGATCGACGTTTGGATCAGTTAAGTTCGACTGACATCTCTAAATTGAGTGGAACCCATGTATTAAGATCGAGTGGCCCACTTCGTTTCAAACGTCGAATTTCTCATGTGCCGAACCTAGTGTATAAATTACTAAAAAATACTTTCACTTGTAAGCATTTTAGACCATTGAACATTGTAGTAAAGAATTGAGTCTGACAAATTAAGTTCGTCATCTGAACCAACCGTCGAACGTGTATCATTTGGGTCGACCTAAATAGGTATTTAGTTCGGTACATGAAAAGATCGACGTTTGCACTGGGCCTTAGAGATCTTAGACTTGACACAATTGCCAAATTCCTGGTTAATCTAGTTTTCTTAAGTTCCGTCTTTTTACAATCCACGTGTTGAAAATATGTGATTCTCACCCAAGGTGAGACGGGACAGATTCACGAACCCCTCCTAAAAACCATAAAATTACTTTGAACTGTCGAATTTAAGAGGGCCAGAGCCGAGTATCCTCTAAAACTAAGGTATATTATGGATCGTAGCATTTCAAGATCCTGAGAATATATGAGTTACGGTCATTTTGTTGCTATTTTTAGTTTCAGCAGCAAAATGCCGCTTTGCAGCAGGTACAAGTTTCCCAGCAGTCTTTGCTAAATGCTGCTGCGACTACAATGATGTCCACGGCAACGCAGGGACTAGGACAGACCCAAGAGGGAATGGTGACTAGTGCTCAGAGCACTGTGGCCTCTAGTTTGGGCTTGACATTCAGTGGAGTAAACACTGGGAACCACAATATGCTTTCTATGGACCAACAAGACAACGTAAGTAAAAGAGATGGCATTGCCGGCTCAAATAAATTTCATTTCCCAAGATTAATTTGTTTGGGGCAGGCCAGAATCTCACTAGACCGGCGAAAAGCTTTACGGTATGGTATGGACAGCAACCACACAGAACAGTCGTTCACACAAATCGAACATCGTGCCGGAGCGGTTGGCAGAAAAGGTTTGGTGAACTAAATCCCAGTCTTCACTCGTGAATATTTACTTTCGTGTCAGTGGGTACCAGTCTTCTTTCCTACTTACAGTCGACTCCCGATAACTCGAACCCTCGCTAACTCGAACCTCGCGTTAACTCGAACCAAAATCGATTTCCCCTGGATTTTTTCATACATTTACTGTAGTTTTACCCTCGGTAAGTCGATCCCTCAATAACTCGAACCTCCCGCTAACTCGAAGTAATTTTTGTTTCCCCTCAGATCATTTCCATATACATTTACCCTCAATAACTCGAACCATCTTTTGGACGCTTAAAAAGTCGGGGAAAAAAAAACAACAAACAAACAAAAAAAAACAGTGTACTGTCTGGCAAAACATAATTTTGAATTTACCTTTGATCTGTTGTAGGCATATAGTTTACTAGTGAAGGTTGATGTTGTTTGTCACAAAGATAACATGAGACAGCTTTGCTACTCAAAACAGTAAAACGCATGCTCTATTTAGGCTATGGTGTTTACGCTACGTTCTGATTTATAATCTAGAAGTAAATTTCAATTTTCGCTTAACATTTCTACGACTAAATGTGATTAAAATGTTCACTGTTCAGTGGAAAAACTGGTTTTTCCCTTACTTTCGGGTATTTACTTCGAGCTCCGGATAACTCGAACGCCCAATAACTGGACCCTTGAAGGTTCGTGTTATCGGAAGTCGACACTGTATTCCGTCGGAATAGCTGTTCACACTGCATCAAAGTGTGGCACACAACCTAGTATCCGATATGTGACGCTTCACTTTCCAGATCGGCGTAGCGCAGCTTCGATCCGTTACAGAAATGGCGCCGAAATCACCGTTCATGGTGTAAACAGGAGCCCTACCCAATATGATTTCTGTGCCGGCGCAAAGGCTATCTGGTATAGTGTGATCATCACCTAAGACTGCTTCTTATGATCCCCTGAAAGACAGAGAGGATTTTTCAGCCGATGAGAATAGCTCGTTCAGGGGCGGATCTAGGGGGAGGGTGCAGGGGGTGCGCACCGCCCCCCTCCACCCCGAGATGACCTGTGGTTTTCTAATACAACTAGTATTCTGCCCAAAAAAAAACAACAACAACAACAACCAAAAAAAACTATGTGGTTTATTGGTGTGGAAGTAGAGCAAGAGACGAGTGCACCCCCTCCTAAAAAAAAAATCCTGGATCCTCCCCTGTCGTTACTCTCTAAGGTTGTAAAGGTGAAATCAATCCCAAATGTCATTTTCGTCTACAATGGGTTGTATGTAACTAGGAGTTCTAAGTTTTAAAGTTCACTTAGGCATTTACGTTTTACAGCGTCTGAAGATAATTATTGAATAATACTATTCTCCAATGAATTTATAGGTTTATGCACCTGGTTTATGCATAACTAAAATAGGCGAGTAGAAGCAGCTTTGAGTTGGTTTTAGTCGTGTTCAAAGTCTTTTTCTTCAAGTTTAATACAAGAAGAGCTTATAAAAGCATAATAAATACACTTTTTACCGTGTCATGATGACAAACAGCACAGTTTTCCCAGAAGATACTTGTAAAAAGTCTTAAGAACATTATTTGAAAGATCATATAATACGCTTTTGGATTTAACTCGGTCCCAGGCCTTGTGTAAAGGAAATTCAGATCACTTTATGTTTCTGGGAAACTGCCCAGCTACCCCTCCCCTAAGCCATCATTTTGCCCAAAGTGAGAAGTAAGTGCTAATGTAGCTTAGGGGCGGGGGTAGTGGGCCGTTTCCCAGAAACTTAAATTAATCCGGAAAGAGCACTTAATGAGAATTCTTATTTTCATCGGCAGTCTTTCCAAGCGTTACAGCAGGAGCTACAACTAAAGCAGCAGCAGCAGCAGCAGCAACAGAAACTACAACAACTTCAACAACAACAACAACAACTTCAACAACAACAGCATCAGCCACAGCTAACACCGCAACAACAACAGTTATTAGCTCGAAGACAACTTCAGCAGCAGGTAGTTAGTAGTTAGCTTTCAGGCTTTATTCTAGAGCGCGGCCTTGAGGGATTTCCGGATTTGGAAAAAAAAATGCCGCGTCAAATGGGGCGCAAAAAAAAGGCCCAAAGATAAGTACTATTTTTTTGAAATAACCTATTCTAAAACATCACTGACAACAACACTGATTTGACGGCCGCTCTATAAACTTACTTTGAACTTTTATAGCCTCTTACTGTCTCAATTGCCTTTCTGTTCTTCGTTTGAGTCATTACTTCACCAGGCAAACATCCGGGATTCTGCAGTAATTCGAGCCAAGGCTTTTTCAGTTGCCCAGAATGTTGCAAAATGGCGGCAAAGTTTCGATAAACGTTCGTTTTCTCGTGGAACAGTCTGTACCAATAAGTTCTAATACCTTTTGGGGGACCCCCTTTCTTGAAAAAGGGCCCGCTAAATTACCGAAGGAGGCCTATTGGATCCTCATTGGCCAATTTCTAGAAAAAACCCCCGCTTTGTTATTTTGGAAGACGTACCCTTTTTCCTAGAAATGAATCAGTCCCCGCTTTGCCCAGCGCCTGTTTCAAATGTCAGACAAAATAGGGGAGGGGGAGGGGTGGGGTGAAGGGGAGAGGGGTGCGTGATCGAGGGGTGGAAAATTAACGAACGGAAATTTTGTTTTGGCAACTGTTGGACATAAATCATTTACGCACGTGCGTGGTCGTAGTCTTCTTATTATACAACGTAAGGGATATCAAATAAATTAATCTATAAATCGATGTAGCAGTACCTCCTAAAATCCAGTTCCCTCTTGGATAAGTGCTTTTCATTTGTGGGTATTTACCTCGTGTACTGGACACAGATGACGTAAAACAAAACAACAAAAACCAAGAAACAATACCAAGCAGATTTTTCTCTGAACAGAAAACAAAGAAGTCTTTTGTTTTACGTCATCTGTGTCCAGTGTTTTGACCCATTTGTGTTATGTGGTAACAAGGGTGAAATGTTTTAATGTGACAACAGCCTATGATAAAATAACATTCAGGTATCGTACGACTGTACAACAATTTGAATTCGTCTGTTACAGCTTCAACAAGCACAGCAACAACAGCAACAACAACAGCAACAGACACAGCAACAAGTCTTTCCACTACAGGATTCCCAGGTTCAACAGATGGATACAAGCCAGGCTGGAATCCCGTCCCAACTCCGTCACCTTCTACAGGCTAACCAGGCTTCAGCTCAGCAGCAGGGATTAGCTGCAGCTGCGCAGCAGCAAGGGATGACACCAGGACAGTGGCAACTTCTGCAACTCCAGCAGCAACAACAGAGATCCCAAGCAGCTGTTCAGATGCCTCTCGGCCAGGTAAGCTGGTGGTTTGGATTGATTTTTCATTGATGGACACGTGTGGAAATAGACCCTATTGACGATGCCCTCCATCTTTGCGCGCGCTTAAGGACTGATGGGACAAAAGCGAATTTCGGGTGGTTTCTCAACGAGGGGGGGGGTGGGGGGAGGGCAAACAAGTGAAAAAATCTGCCAATACAAAAAATCGTGGTCGTCTTAAAGACAATAATGGCAAATTATGGCCGGAAGAGATCATTGTTACTTCTCAGATGCAATAGCGACCGTAGATGTCTTCTCAGTAAGTAATAATGACGTAAAACTTGTCGATACTCGAACTGTACGTTTTGCATGACCTTTAATTCGTCCTCTCGTTTTGAGAGAATAATCAAACTTGATTGCGATTACTTGTGTTGAGACATTTTATCACTTGTTTGTCCCCTAAAATACCACGTGACATTGGTTTGATCCCGTCAATCCTGAAGCGCGTGCAAAGATGGCGGGTATTGTGAGACAGTCTTTTTTTACTCAGTGTAAATCTATGAATGAGCTCTTTGAGGAAAATGTGATGTTTCCGACAGGATTCGTACCTTCTAGGCTTGTTTGGGCGTCTGTGGCAAATGTGCTATGGAGAGACTCAGGAGAATTTGGCCATTTGCTAGGTTTTATATAACGTGCGCGTGTTCCACGTACTGCTAGGATTAGCAAAGTGGGAGCATACTATAGTGATGAGAAAAAGTTAAAGAAAGGCAGCAAATTATGAGCTCGGTAGTGAAAAAATCTTGACAGGTTTTGAACTTTCAATCTGTCAAACACTGGGTGGTCATTACACCCTTGTTTGCTTTGGATTCATCGCTCTTTCTTTATAAAAACTGTCAGATTTGTGCCCAAACAATAGAGCGATTCAGAATTATGTTTACGGCAAATGACAAACGTCAATTTCTACCATGTGATCAAGTATTCTCTTTACTTGTAGTTTTATGCTCATTATATCTATGCAAAAATTAGTAGTTTCATGCCAGTTTCATCCATAACAATTGTCTGGTACAGTTTTCATCTGCTCCTTTTCCTGTTTTGAGAAAAGTCAACTTGAATCTTTCGTTTGCCGTTTCCGCAAACGCGATTCTAAATCTCTATAATGGCGCGTCTTTTTATGTCACAGGTTCAGATGACACAAGCTCAAATGGGTCAGCCCCAGGTCCCCATGACCCAAGGGCAAGTATCGCAGGCTCAAATGCAGGTTCAGCAGCAGCAGTTATCGCAGTCTCAAACCAGTTTTCTACCTGAGAATATGAGCTTACTGGATATCCTACCTCAGTGAAGTGAAATTTAATACCTTATGTAGTAAAACCTCTTTCATTCCGATAGTGAGACCTTCAGTCTTGTCATGCGGCTCTGTGAACTGTATAGTCTACTCTCTCTTACCGGACACATCAGTGAAGGGGACACCAAATTGATACCTGCCATTTTTTATAACTCTGTAAGACAGAAATCTCTTTTAGATGGACACCTATAACCTGTAAGACAGACACCTCTGATGGACACCCAGTGCCTGTCCAGATAGAAAGACAACTGACTTTTATTCCACAATAATTTAAAGTGCTGAGCCATGAAGTTAGAAGGCGGTTTTTAGTAAGAGAAGCTGTAGTCTTAAATGTAATACCCAGACAAACATTACATGCGTTCCATTGTGTATCCACAGTTGTTCAAAAGGTAGATAGCTCTATTGACCGGATAAATGTCTATCCAGGGGATAATTTAACTGGTTTCCCAAACACTTATCTACTGGATAGTGGTTTATCCGGGGTACAGCGCCATCTATCGTTTGAACAACCGAGGCCAGAACTGGATTCTGCACAATGCTGCAGCAGTACAGTCTCAGTTCTGCAATACTTCTGCGGCATTGCGCACAATAAATTTTATCACGTGTCTACCGCGTGCAATGGGTAGTAGCCATTATCCGTGATATGTTCGTAAATTAATTTGTAAAGATTTGTATATTTCGTGCTGAAAGGTTTATAAGAGTACATTTAGGCAATAGTCTTGAAAAGAATAATATTTAAAAGGTAGTTGTGCTGCAGTGCCAGACCTTAGAACAATCCTTCGTGAGCTGGTAGTATTGCTAACAAGCAATAAAAGATCATGAGGCCTCCAGCAACCTCGTCCCCAGGGCCTTCTCGGTTCGCAAAATGGCGTCATATTGGAAAACGTGAAAGCCCTGGCGACGAGGTTGAGCTTCCAGTGCACAAAGGCGTGCCTCGCGTGTGTCGAAAATCGTGATCCCAGAGTAGTAAGAAATACCAGATCATATTCCTGTGCTTTTGCGTAACAATTTTTCCCTTGTTTTTTAACCAGAGTACGCTTGTACTTTGTCTCCCTTTGATGGACTCTAAACAAGCTTCGTCCCTTAAAAGGAATATTGAACGCTTCCAAAAAGAAAGTTCTTTGATTTAACTAACATTTCGTCTAGTTAGGGTGAATAACGTATTTATATGTACCGTCTTAATGTAAAACTTGCAAAGGAGAATAAACTTATCTATCATTACGTAGTATCCGTTTATTGATGAACTTATGTCCATAACGGAATCCGCTGTACCAAGCGCACTGTTATTAGGCCTGGGGTTGAAACTGTATCCTGGCAACATGCTGCGCATGCTCAACAAAGATCTTGCTCGATTCATGCCGAGTCTTTCTCGGGTAATCAAGTAAGCGAAAGAAAGACTCTGCTTTAAGGGTGGCAGACTTTTCTTTCCGGTTTCGGTGTCTCCGTGCAAACGGAAAAAGGTCTGAGCTCCTTCCTAACCAGTCAACTGATGGGATGGGGTTTCTTGTGTATTTCTTGGTGTTGCGGAAACCATTGTTGGTTCACTTTTGTTTTGTTTTGTGGGTATTGTTGAGTTCAGTGTCTTTTCAATCTTTTGTACTACGTCATCTGGTGATTGCAGCTATCTGCAAAGCCAAGAAACTTACGCCTTCTGTAAAACTTTTTTAAAACCTTTAATTAATGTATCATTTTCCTTTTCTTTTTTTAGCAAACAAACTTCAAACATTTACACCGATGATAAATTATTCTCCAATAGTTTACAATCAATTAATCGGCGTCTTATGTACCAGATTTGTATATTACAAAGTTTACACACTACTTTTCAAACAGGTTTACTGTTCAACTTTCGGGAAGTTTTTCTCCTCTTTTTGGTAATCCACGGTTATCTGTCATCTTTGTTCACTCTAACGCAAAGCCAGATGTGACATTTCCTACAAAGAAAATACATTTAGTTAAATCTGCGAGGATTCATGTTAAGTGGTTTGAAACTTTACGCTTTTGTATTAGTTCTGTCATGAAGCGAGGTGAGAATACATGTGCTAAAAGAAAACCAAAGGAATGTACCGCCCAATAGACTTTCTCAACGCCAGTCTCCAGTTTCTGCCATTTAGGTGGTCAGGAAACCGAACAAGTCGACTCGCAACTTAAATCGCGAGCGCCATCACGCATTTACATGAAATAAAGACGCGTAGAAAAACACCACAAAAACTAGTTACAAGTGATCTGACTCATTAAACCTTACTTTGCGTTCTTGATAATGTGGACAGGATGTGGGCAGGTTGTGTCGCTGGGTCATACCAGTTTGCCTTTTGTAAGAATGGTTAGCGTACTGTTGGCCAAAGACCTAAAACGTAAGGCGAAAAATTAGCCATTCACCGTTACTTTTTGGATGGCTTGACCCATTTCTTTAAAAGGGTGCAAGGGCTTGAAATTAACAGTGCTATAGGAACAATTTGGTACTAAATCTTTCCTTTTTATGAAATGTTCAAAACACCAACAGCAGAGTTTCAGCGGAGACCCGAAAATTTAGTTATCTATCCATCGCTGAAATTTTGGTAGTGACGCGATCGTACGGGTGCCCGTCTGTCCGCACCACAGGAAAACCGAGGTAAAATATCACACTTTCTAGCAAATGTGGGAGCCCGCCACGTGATTGCACATCCATGCTGTGGTCAATTGACAGCTAACACCTGGCCAGGATCACATGACCATATCACGGGCTCGTGTCGACCGATCGAGGTGACGTGTTTTTTTATGTTCTCCGCTGACAAGTTACTAGTTTTCAACTGATCACAGGCTCAACTATCAGTGGATATCTTTGAATTGGTTACAAACTTATTGTTTGAAGTAACAAATTATAAATATATTAACGGGGGGCGTCATCTTTAGCCTTGGCTAAGTCTATATATTATCATTGGTTAAAAATTTCCATCGCTCTTTCCAAACAAAGGGAGGGGGAGACAAAAAACCGTGTGGCTGCCATGGAGACTAGGGAACCCGTGCCCGACGAACAAGGTACAGAAACAAAAATCTTACCCAAGAGCATAATTAGGGACATCAGGAGAAAAGAGTAAGTACAGCTCATGAGTTGAGTTTCGAATCGCGTAACACTTGTGATCGCTACTACACATGTATGTTTCCATGGCTTGATGAGAAAGACTGCTGTGTAAGTCGCATGACGGCTCATCTGTAGGAATAAAATTTATCAGTTGGATATTCAACAGTCCTTCTATTGTGATATAAGTGGACGTACCTTAGGTTTAATAATAATAATTAAATAATAATTAAAAATTTATAACACGCCTTTTCCATGCAAATATGATCAAAAGCGCGAAATGAGCAAAACAACAACTCTGTGCGTGCAACACGGTTTTTGTAAATTTCATGTCACTGAACAACTTAGCCTGTGCCATGAACAGTCTAAATCCCTGATATGGGTCAAGTATATCGAGTTCTCCATCTGGGTTCTCGAGTGACACGTCCGGCTGCAACGGAGGTTATGTACGACTATACGACGTGAAATTTTTTAAAATTCATCTGCATTTGAAAAATTCATCGAGTTGCAACGAAGCGTAAATTCACTTTTTAAGTGACGATTTTGCTGACGTCAACTTCGTGGTTTCTAGAGCTCTCTGACGCCAAGCAAAGCGCTAATCTTAAAGGCACGATGCATGCTATTGCCTAATTTCAAACCGTGGGGGTTTGGGACGAGTCCGCCTATTATGGGATGAGCAACTCGAGATCCACAACAGCAGAAAGAGGAAACCGTGATTTCGGACACTTCCACGTTTTGTGGTTATCTGGCCTATATTAAACGAAACACAAGCATTTAAAAACTCAAAAAGTTACTTACAAAAAAATCTAGACGAACAGAGTAGTCCGGCAAACCATACATCTCTCTTATATAGGCACGATTAACACCCGAACATTTTGCAAAGCACGGTGTTCTCTTTCTGATTATGTTGGTCTCGCGTTATCTATATCATAATACACGGATTCGTACTCAACCCCGCTTGGGTTTGAAATAAGACAATGTGACGACTTACCTTGCACCGAAGTGGCTGTCGTTTGTGGTGGGAATAGTGTTCCAACCACTGACTTGTAAAAGGACACTAAAATTGACTTTCTTTTGGCTGTGGAGACCCCGTCCCCTGTTAATAAACAAAAGAATCTTGCCTCACACGCTAACTAGTTTCACACAAAATGTCTTAACTCAGTTCCAAGAAATAAAATGAGGGAAATATGTGGGGAATAACAGATTTCAAAAAGACTCTTAAATTTCACTTTCATACTCAAAAGTTAGAACCACTTTGAACAGCGTTTAAAAAAAAACATCAGTATCACAGAAACGTACTGCTCAGTGGCTTTCATTTGAATGGCCACACTTCACTCTCTGAAAGACGGGAATAATCTAGACAAAGACATTAGAAATGCACCTGACATTGTGAATTTTAAGAGTAGCATTTTTAGCAGCTTTTTTATTTAATGCTTTCTGTATTCCAGTTGTAGCTTTTTATAAAGTTTTAATTTAGTTTATGTATATATTTTTATTTCTAGGTATTTTTCATTTTACTGTTTAGTCTAATTTAGTACTTTTAAGCTAAGTTAGGACCTTTCTGAAAACCACAGTGATGTGATGAAAGTTTTCTAATGAAAGATTATTATTTAATTAGGATTTTATCTACAGAGGTAAAAGTTAGTCTTCGTGCAATTGACCAAGGAGGCTAAAGGTTTTAGCAACTTTTCATGGAGGGTGCTTTTGTACGTAAGAAGAACTTCAATTTTATAGCAAGAACAGAGTGTTACCGGGTGAGCTGCTTTGATCGACACCAGTCATCACTCCAGATGGATGTACACTTGACAGGCACTTTCGTTCATCTGTATTTACCAACAAAAACCTGCAAGAAAACCATCAAAACTGACTGATGAATCAAAGGGCCAAAACCACGAGCAGTCAACTCCTTCATCTTCCATTGAATTACGACAGAAAAATCGACCAACTACTGCAAGCAATGCAACAGATTCTAGAAATCGGGCAGATTTTAGACCGTTTCTTTCAGTACTCAATCAAACTCTATGAATTAAGAGCAAAAGATCGGATCGATTAATTTATAGCTTATTTGACTTTCAAAAGGTTAGGGTTTGGGCAGCTCTCGTGGTTGGAGGATAAACCCTGTAAGCTGAATCCCTATCACTTATATATATGCTACGGTATAGCTGTTGGGCCGACGGATCACGCCCGCAGCAAATCAGTTAGTGTAAGTTACCATGTCTGCTTCGAAGAAAAAATTGACTTTAACAAACTCCTGAAATAATGGTAAAAAAAATGTAAATTTTACCACTATTAAGCGGCCATCAAGACGAGAGCTTTTCCAATTCAGTTTCCAATTGTTGTCACCATTATTGAGCCTCCATCAACTGCTTGATACAATTAATTTGGGTTTCTTTTGAACCGTTGATGAAGGAAAATACAGTTTGAAAGAGAAGGTGAAGACTGACTGTGGACCAGTAATGCCGCTCCAGTCGCGTATTTGTTTCAAAATAAAGTGATGTTTCGATTATGCTAAATTATGACGACCAACCACCATTAAGCGTTCACTTGCCCGTAACTTGAGGGGGGGGGGGGGGCGAGGGGGGTGGTATAAGGGGGGGGGAGAGAGCATCTTTTTAATATGGTTTGGTTCACAGGCCCATAGTTATATTTTAAAAGATTGGACAACCACCCATAATATGCAGCGTTTAGATACCGGGTCCCCAGGAAGGTTATTTTGTTGTGGTTTTTTTTGTGAGGGTGAGAAAAAAAAAAATAGTATGAAAAAAAGGGGGGAGATGGCTTGGGGAGCATACTTGGCTGTCCTGTTTTTTTTTTTTTTAAAAAATAATGTGTTTTTTTTTTATTTTATATAACCGACACACCCACCTCTTTGGGTGTGTGCTCCGGGGGGGGGGGGGGGGGGGGGGGGGGGCAGGGGTGGTGCTTAATGGAGGTTCAGTTAGTATCAATTGTACATGTATTAGCTCACACGCACACTGTTAAATTTTCATAAGATTCGCTACCTACCCTAATATTCCGCTGTCAAGTACCATGTCACCAGGAAGGTTCCTTGGATGCGATCTTCGGCTTGATTTCAATGTTTCCGTTGATAGTCTCCAGTACGGTTCCAAAAACTACAAAAAAATATCCCAAAATGCAGACAAAAGGAAATTTTCATCAGAAGGTATTGTGTGAGTTTGGTTTATCGTTATCATTGTCTTCACAACTATTTTAAAATGCAAAGAAGATCATCGTGTTGTGAAAAAATTCAGGCTTTCCGGCAAGCCTAAATTTAAATTTCTTCAGCCCTTCTTTTCGAAACTGCATAAGTTGCGTCTTTAACTGCAATAATCTTCTTTTCATTATTTATTTTTTCATTATATGTGGTACCAATATACGAAATCCATATATTCATCGTTTCGTTATTGATATTGTTACTACATACATGTATTAGCGTTATGACCAATTTCTATAGGCTGTTTTAGCTCCAGATTCTCCTATCCCTGCCAGTACTTTTGATGATGAACTTAGCCTGATTCGAGTACTTCACAGCAAGTTGGAATGTGAAATTATCTTCAAAGAGTGAAAAACGAAGTGACGATATCAAAATCTGTACCCGCGACTTCCACCCCGGCAACCCGCGACAAGTAACCAAACTCTGTCTGGAATCTATTCCATAATTCTGCGGTCATTTGGCTTTCACGTGTTTGTTTAGAGTTTGGAATTTAATGAACTATAAAGATTCATGTATGTACCTTGGTCTCGGTGTCTTGAAGTGATGGTTTGGGGCCACATATCACACACACTTCCACACCTTCAATGAGCTGTGGAAATGCAGTTTATAATATTATTATTACTATATTATTTGATATATTGTACATTAGGGGAGCAAGGGTAGCGCAGTGGTGAGAGCACTCGCCTCCCACCAATGTAGCCCGGGTTCAAATCCCCACGTTGACGCCATATGTCAGGGTTGAGTTTGTTGCTGGTTCTCCGTATCCTGCGACAGGTTTTTCTCTAGATTCTCCAGTTTTACGCTCTCCTCAAAAACCAACATTTCCAAACTCCAATTCGACCAGGAATAAGGTAGACGAAGAACCACTAAGTGCATATGCTACAATAGGTACTAAATGATTATTTATCTATTTTTATTTATTTTACTAGCAAATTAATATTACAATAGAATAGAACAGTTGATACTAAAAACTTACACAAGGATAACATTTACTTAACCACCAGATATTTAATACAAATGTTGGCGCAGCATCAACCCTTTAAAAATATTAACCATTATCATAGTATATCTGGATATTTACAGTACATGCATGTAAAATCAGTTTTAAGCGATACAAAAACAGTTCTAACTCACTTGAAATGTAAGAAGCCTATGAGGAACCTGAAAAAGGATTGAAAACATTGATGAATCATGCTGGCTCAAACAAAGAAAAACAGCTGATACTCACTTGTGATACACATAACTTTCTTTACTTTTGGGTTTTTGTTGGTGTGGCGGGAACCATAGGCTCGATTACCAACCTCTGTTCGGAAAAATGAACCCGCATGGTGGTAATTGAGCGAGTACAGAAACCATTGTTGGTTGAATCGCTTTTGTGTTATGGTGTGGATATCATTCAGCGTCTTTTGTATTACATGTAAATGTACATCATTTTGTGATTGTACCCGCCCGCAATGCCAAGAAACTACAACCTTGCTTTTTTTATATTAACCTGTCAATGTTAAACTGCATTAAGGTCAAGGTTTTTAATAAAAAGCATGTACGGACTCTTGTAGACAAAGAATTTAAAAGAACTGTATTTATTCCAGGATTCTCAGGCTCGATTACCAAGTTTACAAAACTCCAAATAGGTCAACTCCTCAAAAAAAAATTTTGCACAAAATTCCATAGTTTCACTAGAATCACAGATCATCAAGATGACTACAGGAATGCAACATGTTTACTCACACTTCTCTACAGCACTTGCAAACTGCTAAGCCTTACGTCATCGTGTAAAAATTACAGAAAGTCACAAATGTACAGAAAGTAGCTAAACAGTGTAAAATAGATGAATACCTTTGGACTGCCATAAGGAAGATAAATAGGGATGTCCCGAGAGCAACATGGTGGTAATGAACGAACAAGGAAAGATAACAAAACTGTTTCCATGCCAGTTAACTCCCACCTAAAAGAGATCAACAAATCTATCACAAACATTACATAAACTTACAGATAAATTAAGGCTGGGTTACATAAAAAATCTATGTAATGAAAAATTCATGTACCAGTTAGAGGGCATTTAAAGAAGTTTGATTCTGATAAAAGCACAATTTGGTAAATTACAGTAAGTGGTACGTTGCACTGATATATTACATATATACATTTTGCATCTACTATGCACTACTCTATGATTATTACTTAAACAGTCAATGATAAGACAATACTGTCCCAACAGATTCTACTGACAACAGCCACCCCCCTAAAGCATGCCTGTCATTTTCTTTGACTGATGTCTGTAACACTGACACCTCTCTGAAACTGAGCCACTTAGGGTAGGTAAGTGCCTTTCTTTACCCAGCATGTGACTCACCAGCGCTCTGTTGCTACTGCCACTTTTCCCATCACAAGCAAACACCCAAATTCACTATTAACAGCTGTAGCAAAGGCGTCTAGGAACTCCTGAAAATGCAGTGCATGGTTAGTGATTAAAATACCACCCTTCATGGCAATACTTAATCATGACTCGGAGTCTCAAAAATATCCTGCAAGGTTATATATGCTACATGTAAGGTCACACAACGGCCCAAAGCAGTGATACCATCTCAAATGGCTGCTACATGTATCTTGGATCGGTACTGCAATAATAATTATTGTGACCTCTGACAACAAGAGCTGATTGTGGGTAAAAACTGGAACAAAAAATTTAAATTTTGTACCTGCAAAAATGACACATCGGGACAAAGAATGACATCAACAGCTTGAGTTATGTTCCCTGTTAAGTCGGTGCCTTCCAAAAGGATGTCAATCAAACTATAACAGCACTAAAAATAGATGCAGAAAGACAAGGAATTTATTACAGTTTCTATGCCCATCTCTCTTATGTTTGTTTCTCTTCAGTGGTTTTATTACATGTACCAACATACTAATATATTTATTTTTGGTGAGTACAACTGGTTTCAAATGCCATAAAAAGTGTGATGGAACCCATAATATTTATCAACAAATGAACCTCTGCCTTCAGCTGTGCTCTGAATGTTTTCTGGGCAAATTAAAAAAAAATAGTGAATAAGTTTAATCCATTTATAGTTTTAATGAGCCACAGACTTTCTGCTGTACAGATCAAAGAGTTTGGTACTCAGTTCATGACAGGTAATACATATAGTAATAGGAACTGGCGATGTACAGCTGTACATGTAACAGAATAATTAGCGGAAAATAATTCAACAATCAAGAATAACTTACTCGTAGCTCTCTTTTAAGGTGTTCTACATTTCTGATTGATGTCAGCTCATTTATACCTAATAACAATACCTGAAAAATTGCAATTCAAAAATCAATTAAGCATTAACTGTTGAACCATAAAATGCTTTATAAATTTTAATCTTGAATTTGTTTCTCTGACTAAACAACACAAATGTATGGAATGCATAAAGGTGCAGTTTGAGTCATAATGGGTATGACAGGTTTATTTACACCTTTATGTGACAAGCAGATCTATAACTTAGAGTTGGTTCCCTGCACAGGACATCCACACCCTGAATATAACTAGTTATAGTTGTCACTAAATCTGCCCCCGACCTTTTAAAACTCGAATGAAGACTCCTTGTGGTTGTCCATGTATTTACCATGAACCTTTGAAATGCGGTTTTCTTATTAGAGTTTCTGAGTGTAATTCTTTTGTTCTCTTTTGTGTTTTCTCAATTATTACACTTTGTTTCCTGGGTTAATGAAAATCCTCATACATGACATGCCTAGGATGGACAATTGTTTTTTATACATCTCATAATGAGTTCAACCAACACTGCAAATCTAATAGAACGCGTGTTAAACAGCAAAACCATCTTTAATTATCTATTTGTAACTAAATTTCCTATAACTAATGTGTCGAACGGATGCTTTGGCTTCGAGTGTGACATTCTTGAAGGCAAAGTCGAACGCAACTGATATAAATGATTTCGCAATAAACTAACCCTACAAAAACATGGACCACTGTTTCAAGTTTCTCACCTTTGAGATATTTCCCAGTTCATTTTTTCTGGCATGTCCTTGTATCAAATAAAATAATCGGGATTTCGCAATAAACTAACCCTAAAAACACATGGATCACTGTTTATTAAACCCTGAATACCTTAATATAGAACAAAACCCGGTTATTTCACGTTAGCACCTTTCTTGTCTTTGACTGGGTTTTGAGAAATTTCAGCTATTCCTGATGTGGTTTGAATCGAGTTTGTCAATCCACGTTGACAAAACCAGTTCAAAGTTCTGTCGATCCACGTTGCTGATTTGTGTCTGACAAATCAAGTTCTTTAATACCAAACAATTGCAGTACTGCTGAATAACTTTTTAACTCTATAGAAATATGTATCTCGCAATAACCTTCGCGAAACTCGGTTTGGTAACGGCACTCAAGTTAAGCCTGGTCGGTCGAGGTTACGAACTGGACGGGTGACCAACCGCGAATATCGTGTTAAAGGTCCATACGTTGTTCTTTCTTTTCTTCTTCTTCTTTTTTGCATATTATGTAGTGTTATTGTTAACAGTGTATTGAAAAGCAGATTTAGCATTATTTTGCCGCCCGCATTTAGAAAAAGACAAAAACAAAGAACAAATATGGCCCGGTGCAGTTCGCCTGAAAATTATTATTATTCGGGCCGTAATACAGAGCTGAAACTTTGCGACTTTGATCTATATATCTGCGGGGAAACCGGCAAACTAAGAAATCTGGGTTTTCGACAGTGTAAAACGATCATAATTCCTTTGATTCCAATCTCCTGTTCCTCTGTCTGTTGTTGTTGGCGTTGCCTTTGCCTCTGGGCCGGAACCCTGCGGGGGCAATAATCTCCTAGAGCAAAGCTTTGCTGATAATAATCTAAAAAGGTTTTTCCTCACCCGACAGTTTCACAAGCAACAACAAAGAAACCAGCACTTTGCATCATAAACACTGAGTAGTACCATGAACAATAATCAAATTATAGACTACAGCATATACGTACATATAGTCGGACCTCCTTACAGGTATATGTGATATGGAATCACCAAAATACGAGACATGAATGTCCAATTAAAATTTTTCATACTAAATAGGTGTTGGTTTTATAGAAGTAGGGAGCGCACATAGTCTGTGCACGTAATTATGTACATGTATACGTGAACTTTCACACTGATATAGAACTGTCTATAGTAGGAGTGACTGCTGTTATGAATGTGTCCAGGAGAAATTTGACTTTAATTTAAAATTTCTTGCAACCTACCATGGAATTAAAGACAAACTCTAGCAGTCGATTAAGATGTGTATCACTTGCACTGTCATCAGATGTTACTATTATTAAGGTTATCCTGATAACAGAAACAAAAGATTAAAATTAACACTTTGAATCTGGCGGTCCAAGTTTTGGCCTTGCCATTGTATTACTTTCTTTTACGAGAAACTCTGCTCCATCATGATTCTCTTCATCCAGGTGTGTAAATCAATGAGTACTGGTAACATTCTACTGGGGATAACTCTCTGATAGACTGGCAACCCATCTAGGAGGATCAGGGAGTAGAAATAATGATATTACTACTCACTTTAATTAAGCTATGGAAACTGGTATAAGCTCCAGCCTGATGGGCTATTTGGCATGAATACAGACTTCTTGTCAACCTAAGTAGCATTCCAAATAATGGTAATAAATCCTCACTTTTCATTAAACACCTTCCAGACAACTTTAGCATCATCTGTCACTGTATTGAGCAGAGAGACATCTTGATTACTGGCAAACATGCAGACGCCATTGAGTGATCCAATCACAGGAAACGGTAGCTAAGTATTTAATGGCAGCCATCAGTATAACATGCTACATAAATGTTTTAATATTCATTTGATTCATTCTGTTATTACTAAGAATTTGATGCTGCGAATACAGTAAACACCTGCTAATTAATAAGAACCTACTTTTTCGAAGTCTGGCAAAATAGGTTCTTGTATTTTGGGGGACTTACAACTCTATTGGGAATTTAGGCTACGTTGGTTCTTATTTAATTAGTATAGGTTCTTAATTTTTATGAAGGAGATAATAGATTGTTGATTACCAGAAAAATAAATAAACTTTTAATTTATTCAAAATTGCATTATTACAATCCTAATAAAATTGATTACCGCATATACATATGTATATATACATATGTATATATACCGTTAAGTACAGTATGTTCATATTAAAACTCAAAGTTACACTCCTTACGGAGTCCTTTGTTTAAATTGTTCATCATAATAAAACTGTAACCCTGTCCCACATATAAGAACCTGCTTGATCTTGCTTGGCTAAACAGGCTCTTGTATTTTTGGGTATTAAAGTGACAAATTTCTGCCAGGAGGTTCTTAATCCACAGGTGTTTACTGTATGGAAGACGACGATCGATAGCCCTTCCATGACCTGCAAGTCCATGTAGAGTAGCTTATGTTTAGGTTACCGTATGAGTTTGCTGACATCGCTAGACTCATTTTTGCGATTTTACAGACCAAAATTATGGTGGAAACTAGCAATTACCTGAGGAAGATTCCCTTTTGTGCGCGTAAACAACGGAATTCCACCTTCAGTTGTCAAACAGACCAAATATGCCGCCATGTTGAATTCCCTCCATGCGCATGCGTCAAGGCTTCTGAAGAAAGATGTCAACTGAAGCAAAGATGGCGGATGGTTTTGATGAAATGCAAGTTGAGGTTAGTTAAGCATGAAATGGCTGCGAGACTGGCGTGCAAGCTGTTGTACGGAGGAATAGTAACTGTTAGCTGCTGCTGTTATATCAACTGCGTTTTGGAACATGTGGTTGAAGGCACTGTGGTACGTAAATGTAATTTTCCTAGGCGCAGTATCGTTTCCTGTCAGCAACTTCTTATTAAAGATATACAAACCTCTTCTATTATGCTAACTATACCAGCTGTATTATTTTAAGCCATTTGCTTTCGTTCAGCTGTAAAATTGACGCACTATGTTCTCTTTGAACTCTCTGGTTTATTGCTTTTTACGGAAGGTCTTGATATACATGTAAATCAGTCTCAGCTTTACGTTCATAGAGATCGAGTTTATTCGCGTGATTCTTTGCAAGTGCATGAATTCCTTCCGCATTAATTATGATGTGTCGTTTCTATTTTGTGTGAACAAAGAAGCCTTATTTTTAAATTTGATGAATCTTCAAAAACATACTTACATGTTAAAAAAATACTTACTGTGTCCATATTGAAGCTCTTACAGATGTTGTACTGAGAATTTAACCTCATCTATTCATTAAGAAATCTGTTTCTGTAATAGCCACTCAAATTGCAAATACCTTTCTTATCTCAGATTTCATCACCTTTTATGAAAGAACAGGGAAAATATTAGTGTCTGCTCTCTGACCCTCTTATTTTAATTCATTATTTGTTTAATGTAATCAGTAATGACAGGTCAAGCATTGAGGGTCAATAAACAGAATAATTATTATCCAACATCAATATTTTGTTTTTCCCTCACTTAGTGGAACTGAAATTCAAATACTGAAAATAATTGCCCTGGGGCCATAATGAGACAATTCTTGTATTGTCTGGCAAAAATTCAAAACATACGGTGAACTGCTGCTTGTATGTATGCCCCCAGCTTATACATCTTACAGTCATAAGGGGTTTTAGGAGAGCTTAAAAACAGAGGGGTCTATATCCAAGGGATTTAAGACTGGAATGTTAAAAGCCCTTTGAAACAAGCTGTAGCATTGCTGATCAAGTACATTTTGCATTTGGTTGTTAAAACCAAGCAACATGTTGAAGCTACTGTAATTATTAAGCTTCAAAACCACATGAAGTAATAATCATTTCAATACAAGCTACAATGTATAGGAGGGCTTATATCTGAAAGGGGGGTGGGAGCTTATAATTTATTGGATGTATTTTTTGTTTACAAGCAAAATAATGGTTCCCCCAGAGTATAACTGGTCGGAGGGGGGTGGGGGGGGGGAGGGCTTTTAAATGGAAGGTTCATTGAACAGCTTACAAGAAGCAGTTTACAACTTATGAAAATCCCATAAAATGTAAAATGTGGAGTGGTTTTTGGTGGTTGAGAATTTATGTTTATTTAGAGCTGATATTTTTACTCTGTATGTGACAAGACAGTGAGTCAGGATTTGTTATTTTCATCTAAGAGGTTTTAAATAGCTGGACAACCAGGATTGAGGAAGTTAACTTACTATTAATTATTTGATAGCAATGTACATGTAACTGGCAGTTCCACGTACTGTGCACTACAAAATCTTGTAGGGTTTAGTAAGTTGTCAAATACATGTACATGTAAGCCAAGTAACTGTCAAAAAATAAATATGTACATGACTATTGTACAAGGTAATCAAAGAGCTAGTTTATTGATTCCTCCTTGTCTTTAGTAGCTCTTTCATTTTTGTTATTGTGTGTGTGTGTGTGTGTGTGGGGGGGGGGGGGGGTATTTGATTTTTTTTTTTTTTTTTTTTTGGGCCATTTGAAAAAATTTTGAAATGGAAAAAAAAATATTTTTTAAAAGAATTTAAAAGTTTTTTCCAGTTTTACACTTTAAGAGGGTTAAAAAAAAGATCAATTCCAAAAAAAAAAAAAAAAAAACAAAGAAATCTGGTGTGTGTGGGGGGGGGGGGGGTCATACATGTGTTATATGTTTTTGTTCAGAGCCATTATGCAAAAATCTGAACATGCAAATATAATAATTGTTAACAGTACTTTACAGTTGTCTGCAGCTTTACAACTTTAGAAGGCTTATAAAAAGGTCAATTTCCTAAACAAAATAAATAAACACATGAAATGCCATGAATTATTTTCAACACTTAAAGAGAAAAAATATTAATTTTTTACCTCTGTGTGGCCATATCCTCTATTTATTTTCTTCTTTTAATTTGTCCCAGTGCAGCTGTTTGGGCCATCTATGATTCCTACTTTCAATGTGAAAAATGATGGAGACCTCATAATCACCGAGCATTTAAGTGCACAATTCAGGACAATAAAAAAGTATGTATCATGTACTTAACCACTTGATCCCTGTTAGCAGATTCTCCTTTTCATAATACTGTTTAATTAAACTGCCATCCATGGTGATGGAAGAAGCTAACCAGTTTACGTGTTATACAACCAGCTTTATTCGACATGTTTATCTGTTCCAATTGCAACTGTAAATGCTCCTGATTTTTTACTGAGTCTTTAATCACATCAAGCATGATTGTTACATCCTTTGTTTGGTGTGACTTAAAAAAAGAACTCAAATCTTTAAAGACAAGTACAACACTGTAAAAAGCTTTATTCCAGACATACCTTGACGTTTATTGTACAGTGAAGTTTCACTGCTTATGAAGTTTTCAGCTTACTGACAATAATTTTTTGCTTGGTCCCCAGGGGTGATGTTGTCATAGTGCGTTCTCCTGAAGACCCAAAATGCCTTTTGTGCAAACGAGTGGCTGCAATGGTGGGTGGACTATTAATCTGAACTTATATAGTACAAGAGAAGTGCCTGTGTGTTTAACGTACATGTAGTCAAAATAAATAAATAAATAAATAAGTTCTTTATTAATTTCAAAAACAAATGTTCTATATTACAATTGACAATTATTTAAAATTGAAAAGACACCTTTTGATTAAACAGGGTTTAAAATGCTCAATCCTAATTTGAGGAAGTAGTGATACGTATGTCCTTGGTTCCTCAGCCCTAGTATAGCACCCCTGAGGTACAACCCTGTTTATACAGTGTAGGCAAAAAAGGGGTCATGTTACCATCAGCTTAAATTACTCGTTGTTCCGTATTAAATAAGAAATTAATAATCCAATTCTCCTCCAGTAAGTACTCCATACAGTTTTGAAATTCCACCATGGTAAAGACCGTTAAGACAAAGACCTTGAAAATGCCATATTGATATGATAAAATACACCTAATGAGCTAATCTCAGTGAGTCAAACTGTACACATATAATGTTCTTAAATGAATATACATATTTTTGTACAGTAAATACTGTAAAAGTAATGAACGAATATATGCCCTCTTCCAAATAAATGCCTCTTTTCTAATAAATGCCCCCTCTACACAGTTAAAATTTTCTTAGACACCCCTGTCTAATAAATGCCCTCTGTATCATAGGGCCTATGATACAAAAAATACTAGGAATTAGCGAAAAGGAGAAAAATCATTCAAATCATTCAGTTCCTTGCCTTATTAACAAAGCTTTGTGTTTGTCATCTTGTTCAATGTCAAGTTTAAAGTAAGGATAGCCTAACGATGGCAATGCAATAACCCTGAGCGAGGATTCTTACATTGATGTTGAGATTTGAAAGAGTGATATTGGATCTTTAGAGGGTCTAGATGTATTGATGGACCGCATATTGTGCTATCTTTTAACTCTCTTGATGTTTTGGCCGAAAGCATAATTATTATTAGTTTTGTTGAGCTTGTTACAGTTATGAGAATAAAATAATGCCTCTCTCTTTTAAACGCCTCCTATCTATTAAACGCCCCCGCTTGGTCCCCTAAAATTAAATAGATTTCCCAGGTGTTTATTAGTATGGTATACATTTTTACATACACCACACAACTACAACTTACACTACACACATTACATCTCATATTTGAGAAAAAAGAAAGATTAGGAAGAAGACAATTAAGGCAAAAGAACAATAATGTAACTAGAGGAAAAACTACATTTGAACTTAATTTAATTTTCTGCTTTATTGATAAGTGTATCTACTTCAACTTAGGAGTTTTCATCTTCTAAAATTTCAGTTAGTTTTTGTAAATATATTATAATTATTCAGGGTTTGCAAATTTCATTGATGAGTGGAGTCAGTTTGACTTCTGCTTCACAAATTTGGGAGTCATTTTGGAATATTTGGTGTCAAGTATCAGACTTTCCAGCACGTGGTCCTGGCATGTATACACTATCGTGAGGGATACACGAGGTAGCTGTGCGGTCCGCTGACCTGGAAAAGTCAAATCCACGATGGCGGTCATCGAGTAAACTTTGATCGTAATTTACCCTCTTCCTGTTTTGTCGTGCAGTATAATTCTTTAATTTCGATGACTTAATTAAGGTTTACAACGTTTACAATTAATGTAAATTGTATTTGTTGCGAAAAAGGTAAGGACAAAACTGTGTTACCAAAAATTTCTGGAGTCAAAGTGGCTCCCTGTTTGTTAGTGAAAATTTTTGGAGTCGAAGTGATTCCCTCCGTAACTTCAGTGGAGTCATCTGAACAATTTTGGCGTAAAATACGCCAAATTTGGCGTATTTGCGAACCCTGATTATTAATACATTTGTTAAAAGAGTTTTTGAGTGAGCTAAAGGTTTGCCGTAACCACCCATTCCATATGCTACATGTAACCTAATTAATTTTGAACAGTGGATGAAGTAATTATTTTTGGAAGTTCTAGGGTCAAACCTCTTTAATTTTTGATGTGCAGGCTGTAGTACAATATTATCATTGAACCTGTAAGTTGGTAGTGCCAACTTTCATGTCACCCCAAATTATAGGCCTGCCTTTGCACAGTTGACAACTCATAAGAGTTGTAATTCCTTTGAGCTTGTGTAATACCCTATTTTCACTGTCATGAAGCGATGAAGTGATTATTTTGTTCTGTACAATGTTTCATTTTTAACTACTGTATTCCCACACACAAAGCTCCTTAACCAATATTCAATGTGTTTATTTTTTGTCAGAGTGGGGAAAGAATTAGGGCTAGCCCAGATGATGATCTAAAGGTATGTCTAGCAGTAATGAATCTTACATGTACATTTTAAGCTGTTGTGTCTGTAGACACATTCACATTCACATTCACATTCAGGGTAAATTCTTTTAACCTAGGTTGATTCTCAATTTCCTTTATCTCGTAGCCCTAATTCATGATATTAGAGTTAGGAGATAGAAGAAATTAACAGAGAATCAACCTAGGTTAAAACACAATTTACCTGAATTTATTTTTGAGTGGACAATTGTTGTTGGTGCATATATATACACTTAGCAAATATCCACCAGATAAAGAAATCACTATCCAGACGCTAATGCAATTGGTTTTCTTTACACTTATCTACTGGATAATAATTAATTATTTTGTTTAGAGGATAGTACTATTCAGTTCTTGGATAATCAGCGTGTGCTGCCTGCTTGCTATAGAACTGTAAAGCACTAGTGTAGTTCCATAAATTGACTATTTGAAAATCTACAAGGTTTGTCTAGAGACGGATCTTGACCAGGGATGACTGGTTAGATGTACAAACTGTACTTTAACACTTTTAGATCAACAACAGCAAAAAAAAAAACACATAGCACGTATTTCACTTTAGGTTCATACATGTACATGTAAAAACATTGCAAGATGAATGTTTTGAAACCTCATCAAAGAGAGTTACATGTCCATTTCAAACCAAAAAATGGCTCACAGATTGACCTTATGTTCATCATGTTTATTTGGGGAAAAAAGGTGGACTCAAACTGCTCCATAGAGTACTAGTGATGTTAAATTACCATTACATGGAGTTAAGAAAGTCATAATTTTTTTTAAAGATTCCCAAAGGTCATGTTTGGCTTCTTGGTGATAATCCAGATTGTTCGAAAGATTCCAGACATTTTGGACCGGTTCCTTATGGACTCATTCGGGGACGAGCTTGTTTGAAGGTCAGATACATGTAGCATTATTTAAATTTATTTATCTTTGTTATTTCTCTTAACGCTTTGCAAAATATGAAAGCCCACTGGAAGTTTTTTTGTCAGCAGACGGTTGACAAGAGACATGCATGTAATTTTCAAAAAGGGCTGGATATTCTGGATAACTTATGGTATAACAACTGCTTAAAATGCCAGCCATTGTCTATAAGGACATGCAATTCTTTTCAAAGCCGTCCGGTCCATCTGCATTTTGATAGATCAAAGATCACTAATCAGGTGACAAACAACAATCTGCGAGGGATGGGGGTGCACAATAATTTATTGACAAAAAATCAAGGAATTTCTTGGATGTTCTTTCCCATTCTCTGAGGTCAATTTCCATGTTGTAGTGGATATGGAACAAAGTGAGTCCTTTCAATCTGTAGAATGATTTTAACTGGGAAAGATTTTTTTATAATTTTATCAAAAATCATTTATTATGAAGAATTTGACCGATTTCTGTAAAACGATGGAAACCGGTGTGGATCTGTGTCTTTCTCTTGTGCCATCTACATTGTACAAATTTACATCCCTATCTCTAAGGCGCTTTAAAAGGTAACCATGTTTACATATACATGACCTCTATCTCTAAGACGCTGCAGAAAGGCAACCATCTTCACAGGTACATGTAAGTAGGCTCACAGCCTTGTACCATTTTCCCTTGAGTCTGCTGTAAATGTGTGGGTTTTCTTAAGGACAGGCTTTACCCACAAGATAATCAACCACCTCATTTTAGTTAATGCCTGCATGCCAGGGAATTGTAACGCTTCTTAAGGCAATGGGATTTTATCAGTTTAATCAGAGGAAACGTTTCTTTATTTCCTGTAATCAGGAGACCAAGCTGAGCGAATAAGAAAGACTCTGTACCTCCTGTTACTGATTTTCAATGCAAACCATTATTAAAATACCCATAGACCTCCCACACAGCTCTAAGTGAACAGGCCTTTGCATTTGGTTGTTTTCAGGTGTGGCCTCTTTCTGAATTTGGGAAAATTGAAAATCCATACAACATAAGGTGACGGTTTGCCAATTGACAAGTGTAACTACGGTTGCTCAAAAAGGACAACAAACTGGCTAGTGGCAGACGCGCTAAATGACGTTCATCTGTGGTCTGTCCTTTTAGGCAGCATGGTGGTAAATCATCTCAAAATTTGTAGACTCAAGTTCAGCATTATTAACATCAAACCTGGAACTACATTTACGTCTGTTGTTCTAGGAGATAATTCCACTTCTCGTATTAAACCCACGGCATAGTTTTCCTCACACCAATCGATCGTGGGAGTTTTGAATTAAAAGCTCTCTCGATGGAGCAGTACTTTGAATGGTTGTTTTTTAATTTCATGCATTTTGAAGATGTATTCGGTGATTTGGGTGCGGCAGAGAACGGTACAAAGGTCTTTCAACAATCATCTGTATGGTATTGGTGTAATAACGTACTGTAAACGTGACTGATCCACAAATGGATAAAAAAAGACGATTGGGAAAGAGAGAGTAATATGAAGGAATGTCCCCTTCGCAAACCTCTGGGACTATTTTACACATTATCACTTGATAGGTGGAAAGCCATTTTTTGGGAACGAAGACAGTTTTGGCAGGCCAAGTAAAAAATATGCGCTGCAAAACCTCATTAGGTATAAACCAACCTTTGTGGAAAAATTTTTGATGTTTTTCTTATTTCATCCACATTTAATGGAACTAAAATGTTCATGGTTCCTTTTTTCTCTTCACGAGAATGTAAGTGGCAAAACATTCATGGCCTCTTTTATAGATCGGAGGTCGATCGATAAAAATAAGTATCCTTCAACAAAAAAACATAATAAAAGAAATAGAACTTTCTTTAATATAAAATGATCGAAGTAATATATTGGAATTTCATGAAATTGTAAATTTGTAATCGAATTTGTAGAGGTAATGTAGCTTTCATTCTCAAGGTAAAATAATAAAGGTAGCGTAATGAAAAGTTGTGTGTTGAAAGTAACAGCCATGACACCAGTTCGTTTTCCTCCCTTTCATCTGGTTTGGTCAGCACTGTAGCCAAGTATCTACTCCTTTAAACACTAGCATGCACGTGTATTAACAAGTGCTATTCAACTTCCATTTTAACGTTCTCATTATTTAAAATACGATAAAAGTAAAAAAAATTTGCCAAATATATACATAATTTAATTTTGAGAAATCGTCTTCTGTTTACCACTACGTTTTCGCCGCCATGTTTGTTTTTCTAATAGGCTGATTTAGCAACAAAACGGGAACGACGGGAAAGCGCGCGACGCGACTTTCTGAGCTCAATTTGCTGCTCTGCCGTAGGTCAAGCCAGCAGTTTGATTTTCGCGCGCCGTCGTCAACTGACGTTCCCCTGGTGTTGCTGAATCAGCCTAATTTAAAACACGAGCCGTCACGCGAGTTACCGCTCACCGCACGCAAAATTGTGTTCAGCCACCTTAAGGTAAACGTGCCTGCATTATGGTTCTAATTTATACTCAAACCGTTAGTTACGGGTATATTTTACTCAGAAAAGAATTCTTATTGTGTGTTCCCTTGTTTCGCTTTGGTGAAGGCCGCGCGCTCGAAACCTTGGCGTTTGGATCTTTACAGTTGTAATTTGACTCCATTAATTCAGGCAGTCGATGAAACCTTTTTTTTCACTCCATCACCACACCACCACTGCACGACTTTTTCCTTTGAAACTTGCCATTCATTTAATGTCGATGTATGTTTACTTGAGGCATGAAATGCTGGATTGCTTGGTATTCCCGGCGACATTTGTAAACCCATTGAAACCATACAACGAACATGACGTAAATCGGCTACTGCGTATTTACAGAATTCCACGCCGAATGTTGTCAAGTCCCTATTAAGGTTTGTCCCAGGTCTCCTCGGTCAATGCGTTTGGGAGACAAACTCGCGCGAACCACTTGACCCAAAACGCATAAGATTTTCGGAATAATGAGGAGTCGGTACATGTCTATGTTTTGGTTTGCCATTGCGTTTGCAAAACAAGGCGGATACAGTAAAATTGAGGGTTCTTGACGGAAAGTGTTGAAGACCTGGTGGTTAATGCGTTTTTTCTCCATCACAAACATCTTCGATATCATCACCTTGGGTTACAAGTACAACGGCGTCGCAAATCCAGATCCGCACGTGGCTGTGAGACTCGTCTTTTGTCACCGAAATAACGCGTGGAAGATACTACGTCGGGTTTCGACGCGAGAGACCACACTTTCGTACTATTAGCTGAATTATTTCGATATTCTTGTCGATTGGATCATCGACCCTGCACGCGTGACTCCAGACGATCGATAAAGCAGCAATACACACAGAAAAAGATACAGATATAAAATAACCCTCTTTTATTTTCCAAACATGTTGGACAATACATCCGTCTTTGTTGGTGTAAGATGTAAAAACCCGCGTTGAAATTTTATCACTCACAAGTTCACTGAGTTCGTATATATTGTGATTATTTCATTTAGTATAGCGTTATCATGCGATGGAAATGTCTATGTACACAAAATAAGTGTTTTGCTGCTTTAGAGTGGGTGGTTTCGTCCACTTTACGATGTAAATGTATTGTTCAAGTCGACTTGATAGTCGCATAGTCGCAATTAGTGCGCGTACAATCTGGATCTAATTTTAAAGATCGTTAGTGATCGTATTGAGGGTTTTTAATGGCGTGCAAACAGTTGACCTTATTAAACATCTGAGGCATTTTTCGTTCCATTTCGTGGGATTTCATCAATCATGAAGTGGAAAGTGAGCAATGTTGTTCTCGAGGTTTTCCAAATCAGTAGCCAAGCAAACTTTAACACCTCCTTTCGAAATTCGCTTTTTTCTTTCTCTAAAAACAATCGGCCGAAAACGTATGTTGTAAATGGAAAGGTCATAAAAGTTGTTTTTTTACATATACTTTTCGTTATGTGCAAAAGCAAAACGGTCCGTAGTTTTTGTTCTTGGGCTTTTGACTCATAAACAAGGTCTTCATCTATGGATTCACAGTGATGTGCCTTAATGATTTGCGTGGCATCCTGCCTTACTTAGTTCTTGCATTTCAGATGTAAAGATTCTACTGAATAATGCATTTTGGTTTTCGTTTCTTGCCCATTCTATCGACCCCAACAGGTAAGGATTTCCTTTGTAACTTTGGTGTCCATGCTTCTCGTGGTTTTCGCGGAAACTCGTTATCGTTCAGGTCAGTTATCTTATTATTGCCTGCGAAAGAAAAAAAAATGGCTGAATAAACATAATAAGTTGAATATATGTTTGCCGTAGGCACGATGGACACGGTTGTCGTATTTAACCACAAACGTGTTGCCTTCAATTGAGCACTACTTTGAGAAAAGATAACATCATTTGTACAGTTGGCGGTTTTTTTGGAGGTCAATGAATGAAAATCTCCCTGCTTAGCACTCTAAGTAACGATTCCCACACCAACCCACTCTGTAAAGTTGATTTATCAGAAGTAACATTTGGCGAAAGAATAATTTACTGTTTTTGTTGTTGTTTGTTTGTTTGTTTGTTTGTCTTTTCTTAAGGCTTGAAGAAAGCAGTCATATGTTAATAACGATTTTTGTATATTATGATTATGATTATGATTATTATTGTTATTATTATTATAATTATTATTGGGCTTGGTTTAAACAAACATTCAAAATAAAACGCAATAGAGAAAGAGCATAGACAATTAAGAACGCGACTGAAGGGGAAGAGGGCTGTTATAAGGTGTCGGAACTTTATTCCAAACAACATGTCTTCCTTCTCCCTTTCCCATCGTGCACTACGTCGAGATACAACAGGGATACTGCCCTCTAACACTTTCTTCCCCAATAAAATGTCTATTTGACGTTCAGTTATAACTATATCTCTGCAGTGTTTTATCTATATGTAAGCGTCCTGAACGTGTTCGTTTTACATTAATCAGTTCTATATTGGTGCATTCAGTTTCCAAGTCTTTGCGGTCTATTTTGTGGCTTCACGTGCATGCTCCGGTGGGTAGGAGGTGCTGACTTGGTCCTAGGGCTTCTGTTCTTCAGACTTCAGGGATGGTTCCGTTATTTTGACCTGCTTGTCTGGCTTTCGGTGTACAAGGTTTCTCCTGGTACTTTTCCTCCTACGTTTACGTCGTATGATCTGTATCCATGACTCTGTGTTACAGTCACTTTCTTCCACTCTTGTCCTTTGACTAAAGTCTCTGGCTTTACTCGAACAGTGTCACCAGGCTTTAGCTCATTCAGATCTCTGACAGATTTGTTATAATAAACTTGAGGTTTCTTGGTTTCCCAGGTTTTCTCTTCTAACACTTTCTCTGCAATTTCCGGTGTAAGTAAAGTTCCTCTGATAGGTATTTCCGGTCTTGTTCAGAGGTTTAGGAATCTTTGTGCCAGAGATGTTGTCATATCAATGGTGGGTGTGTTATGCCGGTCAAGCAACGCTTCATACGGATTTAATGCAGTTTTCTCTGTCTTCTTCAACGATGTCTTTACAATCTTCACAGCAGATTCAAATTTCCCATTGCTCTGGTGGTGATGAGGTGAATATTTGGTCTGTTCGATGTTGTTTTGTTTACAGAGCTGTGAGAATTCAACGGAGTCGTAATTCGTTCCACTGTTTTTGCATCAAATTGATGATCTCAGCAGCACTTTGGTTTCTCATCAGGTCAAATTCAATTCAGTTACTGTAATAGTCAACCAATACTAGATAGTGTACTCTCCGCCACTCGAAATTATCAGAACCGACTTTGGACCACGGTCTGTTAGGAATTTCATGACTATCAGAGTTTTTTTGGTCTAGAAAGCGTTGCAGACTTCACATGTGGCAAGAAACTTCTTTAGTTGGTTGTTCATGCTTGGCCACCATAAGGATGTTCTGGCGCGTCTAAGGGTTGATTCTGTACACATATGCTGCGCTTGATGTAGTTTCACGAGTGTCTTCCTCAGGGCCACCGGAACTACGATGCGATCGTTCTTGTAAACAATTCTACCACTGACCGACAGTTCGTCCTTGATGCTCCAGTAGGATAGAATTGCAACAGGTACGTTTCTTTTGTTGTTTGTCCAGCCTTTAGAGATGTGGTGAACTACTGACTGTAATTCGGTGTCATCGGCTGTTGCTTCTGCAATTTCAGCGCTTTGATCTTCATGGACCACTCGAGTTGTTTCAATCCCATGTTCAAACGTGCTTCGGTTCTGGCTTGTTGTTTGGGATCTGCTAAGTGCGTCAGCAATAAGATCTTTGCCTTTCACAAACTTAAATTCGAAGTTCATGATTCTGCAGAGCATTCGTTGGAGTCTCACAGGACTATCTGCAATAGGTTTCTTCAATACAGCAGCCAGCGGTTTGTGGTCATTGTAAATTGTCACTTTTCGACCATAAGTGTAGGTGTGGAATCTAGTGAGACCATAAACATTACTAAGCATCTCTTTCTCAACTCGACTATAGCGTTTTCAGTTTCAGTTAATGCTCTCGAAGCATACTGTATATGCTGATTACCTTGCATGAGGCATGGTCCTAATCCACTTGGTGATGCGTCAACTTGTATTTCTACTGTCTCGACTGGGTTGAAGCACTTCAATAATGGTGCGTTTGAGATGAGGGTCTTTATTTCTTCAAAAGCTTTCTGTTCATTTGCTTCCCAGATAAACGCAGTTTCTTTTTTGAGCAATGTTCGTAGCGGTTCTGACTTGGTTGACAAGTCCTCAGAAAATCGTGAGAGGTAAGTTTCTACACCAAGTAATCGTCTTACTTCATCTTTGTTTGTTGTGGCAGGCTTTGATTGAATACAATCTTGTTTCTTCTTAACAGCTTTGTCTGTCAGAACCACACCCATGAAGAACAATTCAGTCTTCCGCAGGTGGAACTTCTCTTTGCGAAGTTTAATATTCTTATGTTTGCATCGTTTTAGCAAAGTTAACGGGCGTTCTTCATGATTGGCTGTCGCCTCTTCAATGGTTTCACCATCATCCCAGATCAGGCTAGGATGTCATCAGCGATTGCTTTAACACCGTCATCTTCTAAGTTCTCGTCGATTCTTCTTTGAAATTCTTCAGGAGCTACACTAATGCCGAAAGGCATTCTGTTCCATTTAGTCCTTCCAAGAGGGGTATTAAACGTCGTCAACAGGGAGCTTTCTTTATCTAATGGGATGTGCCAAAAGGCAGACTTGATATCAGCTAAGGAAAATACTTTAGCATCGCTAATTTCTGTGTGCAGATGATCAACAGTTGGAACTGGGTACTCACAGCGCTTGAGTGCTGTGTTCAGTGGTCTGCTATCTATGCATAGCCTTATTCCATTCTTAGCGGACGGCTTGTTTACAATTGCAGGAGCACTCACCCATTCAGTGGGCTCAGTCACTTTCTCCCGTATATCTTTTGTTGGAGGTCTTGCACTTCAGCAATGAGGTTGTTCTTAACATACAGAGGGATTTCTCCTTAACCTTTTTTGTGTGGTGTAACATCATCCTTTGTGTAAAGATGCCATGTGCTCTCAACCTTCCCCACACTGTCATCAAATATCTTAGGTTAGTTAGTCAAAATGGTTTCTATCGATAGTTGTTTTCGACCCCTCAGTGGCTGTTGGAGGGACACTTGGCTTAGCTGGTCCTACAACGGCAATGTTTCTCCCGTAAAAGTTCAATGAGTTTTAAAATTTCTGAAACATGAAGACCAGTGGGGGGTGTCACGGCTCTGTCAACAATTCTTAATTGGATAATCACTTCTTCCTCGGTAGCGGGATTAAATACAGACTTTTCTGGTTCCCAGTGTCTGTATTTTTGTTTCTTCATCATACAGAGACAGAAGAGGCTTGAATTCAGTGTTGAGATCCTTTAAATCATTATCTCCACTTATATCCTTGTATACATTCACCAGGAGAATACTACATGTAGAACCAGAGTCTATCTGAAACTTCGCAGGAATTCGTTTCTTTGAAAGCAACAGGTTTGCAAAGGCTTTCTTCTGGTCGCCGTCCTGATTGAGTACACATATTTTGTCCAGAACTTCGTAATAGTGTTCGCCATCTTCTTTTACTTTCAGAACAAATGGTTTTTTCGACGATTTCGAATGCTTTGGATCTGACTGTTTTCCTTGTCTCTCTCTTTCTAACCGTATACACTCATTTGAATCTTGGTAGTGATTTTTAATCTTGCATTTTCTGCATACTGCTCCCCAGGCGGGACAGAGTTTTTTTTGTCTAAGAAGCTATGAGCTCCTTTCTTGTTGACACAGTAATTACACATGAGAATTTTCCTTAGTTTATCTTTAGACACGGCGTTTACACTCTCTTTTGCAGGTTGTTTTGCACTACATTCCTGAACTTCAAGTTTAGTGCTTTCATAGGCTTTGCCAATCGCATTAGCCTCAACTCCTGTGAGAGTACTTCCTTTTTCTAGTAATCTTTTCTTTAATTCTTCATCAGATACTGCATAAACAAATTGATCTCACAGTTGTCTAACTTCGTCTGCATAATCACACTCTTTCCCTAACAGCATCAAATCTGTGAGAAAAACAGTGATTGTCTCTCCAGGTTTTTGCATTCGTTCCTTGAATTTCTTAGAGACAAGGATCTCGTTACATTCCGGACTTACCGCTCTCTCCATTTTAGTCCACATCAGATCATAGTCGTTTATATCCTCACCTTCGAACCAATCTAAACTATCGTAAATCTTTAGTCTTCAGGTCCGAGCTAGTCTTGTACCAGTATGCATTTCCTTTCGTTTGAGATGTTAACAAGGCTTCCTTTGAAGATGAAACCACTTTTTTTCTTAAAGGCTCTTATTGCAACCAGGCGATTCTCTAGGCGACGGATGAACGTCGGTCTTTCAAAGTTCATTATTTTTCCAGTAGAAAATCCAGCGTTTTGAGCTGGGGCAGCCTCGGCACCTTCTTCCGACATGTTTTTCCACAAAAGCAGCAGACAGAAATTATCAGATTTTCTCGTCTAGAGAGTCCCGAAAACATCCTGAGAACCAAACAGATTTTACCACGATCCATTCGATTGTAGTTTTGGCGCGAAGATGTCCGATCAGTATTTTCTGATCAGATTTCCCCAATTTCTCCACATTAAGACTCCAAACACGTCCCACAGCAGTCCTAGGGACTTGAAGCAACAGTTTCGTGGCTCTTTGCGCTCCTGGTGCCATGTTATAAGATGTCGGATCAGAGACAAAACAGCAGATGTTCACCAACACAACTCTATTCCGTACAACATGTCTTGGTTCTCCCTTTCCCATCATGCACTATGTCGAAATACCACAGAGCTACCACGCTCTAACAAGGGTATTGAGTCAAAACTTTCCTTAAGTGTGTGAATGGGTTGTGTGACGGTGACTCGTGCTTCACGTCCGAAACTCATAATCAAAGATATGATTCAACGTTATTATGAGGCACTGACATTAATTTCTTGGCCTTTAAAGAAACCTTTGTGTAAAATATTTGCAAAGTAAATGACGCAAGATACCTATAGAGGCAAAAGGAGGCAAAGGATGCAGTACAAGGGAACCATTGCCCCTGGGCCCCTCCCCTGCCTCTGGTTTTTATTACTACCCTAAATAACGTACCCCCAGTTTTGTATCCTTGGATTTCTTGAAGTTCTGTCCATCTTCGCTGTAAATGACTCTTTCTGCTTGACGGCGGCCTGAATGGAAGTTTGCTCCTGGTTAAGGGAGCGCTAGGTTTGTGTCTCAAGCTTTCAGCGGCTAGGTAGAACTGTGCTTCTTGGGGCTGTAAAAACCAGATCAACTGGTTTTTGTCGTCTGAAAATTCAACTTTCATGTCGTCAAGGGTGTTGATTTCCTGAAGATGAATGAACATAAGGATCGATCCAAAGTACTTCAGTGGTACCTAAGATGACTATCTAATGTGCCTTACTTACTCTCCTCATTAGCTGATACGGGGATCAAAGTAACGTACCCCATTATGAGGTCTAGAGGTCCAGTTTAGGGACACAATGTAGTTCTTGATTGCGTGGTCGAAATTCTAAGGTCTAACCAGTCTAATCAAGTAAACCCTCTACGACAAAACACCTATATGCGCACAATTCATGCTTTCCTGATTGACGCGCAAGTTACAGAATACAAAGTATTATTTCTTATATGCTTATTTATATTTCATTTTATCCTCTCACTCTGTATTACCTTATTTAATTCAAAAGCCTCTTCTAGGGTTTTGCTTGCGGACTGAGCTATTTCCTGAATGGGAAAATAAGTGTAAAGCTACATCACTTTGTTATTAATGACGTTACCCGTCTCACTACAAAGACAAAATAGGTAGGATTAAGGGAATCCAGTTCTGACTGTCCACGCCACGAAGAAATCGTGTGAATAAATTTCTTTCATTTCAGTTGCTCGAATTAACTTGCTAGCTGCGAAAACCGAATTCAGAGCACGAAAAGTGTGCCGAACCAGGAGTGACATCCGAGTGGAAAGAAAGAGGAATATGTGCGAAGTACACGCTTCCATTATTTGCTTTGTTGGTTGCTTTTTCTTCAAATTTTGACATTAACCAGTAAGCGAAAATTCATCAGCACCGCTAGACAGCGTACCAAGGAATGAGTGATGTTACCAGGTTTGAGATCGATAATTTTCGAAGGTATGGCTCTGCTAAGTCTCGAAATTTTACAGACATACTGTAAAAAAAATATACCTCAAGTTTGATGTTATAATCACGAGGTGCGGAGGTTTTCACCTTCCCGCCAACTTCGTCATACATGACGTCATTAAGGCTGAAGATTTTCTGCGGCTTTTTGTTGTTCAAATATCGGTTTTTCCAGGCTCCAGTGTGTGGATCAAATTGGTACTACAGTACAAAATAATGGATAGGCTAGTTAGAAAAACTATATTGGGGAATCTATTCACAATAACATCTACAATGACTTAAGTCTCATTTTTCTTAATATCCTAGTTACATTAATATGTGTACTTTCACTTGTATGTGAGAGAGGCTTTGAACCAAAAGTATATCAGGTCTAACTCAAACCTCTCTGAAGCCCCGTGCAAACGTACGGCAACATTGTTGGGAGTTGTTGCGTCCGTTTGCAGGTAGCTAAAAGTTTTGACCAGTTTCGAACTTTGTGCAACAACATGTAACAGGGTGTGCAAACGCACGCAACATGTAACATCCAACAATGTTGGGAGTTAATGTTGGCCAATAATGTTGCGTTCTTTTGCGGCGCTTGAGGAAAAGATCTTATGGTCGTCCCACATTGAACGGGGGGGCAAAGGTCTTTGAATAGAACTTGAGACTGAATGTACTGCTTGTGATTAATATCTATTTTAAAAGTTAATCAAATAATCAAATTGCTAGTTGTATATCATGTTTTTCTGACCTGCGGTAGCAATTTCCAGCCATGTGTGGCAACCATGTCGACTGCTTCTAACACAAAGTGCGCTGTGTCGTCATCCATAAAGTAAGGCAAGTTTATTCGAGCAAATCCTGGCCTGAAAATAAACAAAACACGTTATTCACCTCCGGGAAAACTTGATGAGAAGTATTTTTATGTTTGCAATAGGCCCTTTTGGGGTCCTTTGGAGTTTGCAGTCACGTGACCTGCTTACTTAAAAAAGATGTATTGAATTGACAACGGAGCTGAACAAAACCAGAGATGCCAGAAGCATGGGAAAATTAACAAGAGAGCCAATTTTGAGGTGACTGGCAAAAAAAGACTAAGAATTATGAGACGTCTGCAAAATTGTAAGGGTTCGTATATGGTTTGTATTGCTAGACCGCAAGGCGCGCAAACCAGCGACTTTTTCAATTACTACTTGAACTATTTTCGCCGTTATTCGCCAATATTCTTACTGGTAGGAGTTTAAAACATGAAAGTTGGCAGACCCATTTTATTTTATGCTCTTTCAATCTTCGGTATTTTTAGGGTTGTATCCCATAATTTTGGCAAGAGACAGGTTAAGGTGTCCCTAAGCTGCTAAGGAACTATCTTCCAGTATGTCTTACTTCATTATTTCCAATGGTTCTTTGCATGATACTTCTACATCCTCCCTACAAAGTAAACATCGCAATTTAAAAACCTGAGGAACATGTTAGAGAAATATATGTGAAGTCAGCTTTATAATTTCATCGATCGTAGCGTCATAGCCATCTTGGAGAGTTGGATTTAGGTGATTTGATTGATGATCTAATCTGGACAAACTACCAAGAGTATCGTCGTTGAAACGTAAGCTTTGGTGTTTAGAAGTGGGTGACTTGCCAGGCAAATGTCTTTATTTGCTGTTTACAGGGTTTTTACAAAAACTCTATAGTTTCTAGTAAACCAGCTGCTGACTTTCACTCAAAGTATGTGTCAATATCTAAAGGATGACTACTCGTGAACGGTTTCTTATTCCGGAACGGGGTCAATGTAGTCAGTGCATGGTAGGTCATTGTACCTTCAATAGGAGAGGCAGGGTACACTTCAAAATGTTTCTCTGTATGAACAACAAAATGATTTAACTTACTCCTCGTGAGATTCAAGAAACCAAGCGAACTTTCTCGCAGTAATCTCGTCTATTCCTAGGAGGTCCTGACAAATAACATTGAACATGGTCATTCTTATTATTTTTTGTTACTCTTAACAATTCAAGTTCCAAAGCTGTGATAATTTCACTAAGTATGCATGTTATGAGTGAAATGTACTGCGAGTTACTTCGCTATGTTCCTCCATTTGTTTGACTAACCTGTGCGTAAGGTCCAGCGCATGCGCAACCACCTCGCGCTTGGATACCATAGAGATCATTTAGTAGCACGGAAACAAAGTTATGATGCAGGAACTTCCCGCTGTCTTCGTGACGAATTAACATTGAGAATATTGGCAGACGGCGAGCTTCCTTGTTCCCCAGAATTTTAATGTTTGAATTCTTTTGCAAAACGGCTAGGGCTTTCCTTCGAACAAACAAATAAACAAAGTAATGAAATCATTAATCGCACGTCCCTAAGGTAACTAAGTCGCATACTTCGTATTTCTACAAACAAAGAAGAGTGGTATCTCTATTTCTTTCACGTTTGATTCCAGTTTTCTTCGCCTTGACTTAAATGAATCTTAAAGGGCGAAAAAGAGAACAATAATCTGCTCTACAAAATCAGTTGTGGTAGTATATATTAGTGGTTAACACATCGGACTTGAGATCTGTAGGTCGGGCAGTACGTCTTGCTATATCGTTGTGTTTTTGTCCACTTTGTTATTCTTCACTCAGGTGCATGAGTGTGCACCGGTGATATATTACTAGGGTGGCCTAGTAACCCATCTTGGGTGGGTTTGGGGGGAGGGGGGATACTCCTAGATGCTTCTTGCTACATAAACAAGGATAATTTCCGCCGCAATAGCCCTGCAAGGTCTGAAGAACCTCTTTACCTCTTTACCTTTATACGCTTCAAAATTTGACTTTGAAGTTTGTGTCAACCTCACGTTAATTACGCGAGCCCTATTATCGCTTGTGTCATTAATATGTTGTGTTATAAATTCACTCTCGATATTTGCTTTTAAAAGTAATTTGTTCAAGAGTAAACTTACTTATAAATGTTTTAAACAGACAGTTGGCATTTAATAAATAAATGGATAGATGAGTTTACGTGACCGCGTGGCCCCACTAAGCCAAGCAAATTCATTGTTTTCCTACAAAACTTCCGTGAACAAGGAGTGCTAGTTGTTCTTACAAACCTGCAAAGCTCTTCTTCCCTGTCTTCAATAACATTTGTTCCAACAGCCTGAAAGCATGAGATATAAGAAGAGAACATATGGAACTAATGATTTTTTTTAAAATTTATTAACAGTTCTTGAACAATATATACCAAAGAAATTAACATATAATCGAGGCCCTAAAAGTTGATAAAACAGGTCGAGTTTAAGCTGCAACTTCCTCGAGGAAAAAATGGACAAACCCATCGATTTCTAGAAGATTGAAAAGATATGGAGGAATGATTTACTTTCATATTGTTTGCTTCACCCTCTCCTGGTTTAGTCCATATTAGCCCGTATTGACTATATTAGATTTGCTTCACCCTCACCTGCTTCAGCTGGAAGACCATACCAGCCCGTATTGACTCCACTATGGCCGGTGTTCCGCCTTCTTCCCTTTCTTCGATGTCTTTCAAGTACAAATGCGTGTCACGTGTTACCTGTATCAGCAAATGCAATAAATGTCAAAAAGTTTAAAAAAGAATTCGCTAACTATTCATACTCTGGAAAATTATCGCATAGATATTGCGTTTCATTCTGATAGGCTCGACTCCACCACCCTTCTCTCTCCTCCCTTGTTTGCAGGACTAGTGTCGAGGGTCCCCAGTAGGTTTTCCGGGATACGAGATTTCCCTTATTTGCAGCTGGTGATACGCCATTCGCGATTTTACAGCAAAATCAGGGAGGGTTTCGGGACTGAAAGTATGCGCGGGAGGTGACGTGCCAAAAATAACCCTCGGGATTACGGGATTGAAAAACTCTATTGGGGAGTAAGAAGTAAGCAAGGCCCTGTTTATGTGGGGAGACGTTGTCCCGGAAATGAGGGACACCCTCCCAGCGGAGGCGACTTTTTGTGTCTTATGTAAACGGTTCGCCAAGTTTTGTAAGGAAATGTAGGAAGCGTTGGCTCGACCAGGGGAGCTCGGGTGGGCGAGTGACCCTTCTACCCCCGGGGAGAAGTGTTCTACATATAGACGGGGCCTAAGTCAAGCTGAGGGAAAATTCGAGGACCAAGAGGGGCTATATAGAAGAACTCTTTGTTGCCAACCTAATGTCATGAAATCATCGAAGCGTCTTGAAAGCTGATTAAACATGTAGATCCAACTTTGATGCTCATACTGTTACTGTTATCCAGATTATAGCTGTTACAGTGACTTTATTCTAGGGACTGAGTTCGACAAACCATACAATTGTCAAAATCGAGATAAAAAGTAAGAATCTTCTCTAACTTACGAAGAGAACTGTTCCTCCGCCACAACCCCCCGGTACAGGATTTCTGAACACTCTTCTTTTGGCGATAAGTAATCCTAACCAACAAAACAAGGAGACTCTTTAAAAATCAAGTTTTGACCAGAAATTTCTCGAGATCGTAGACTTCAAGCACCTACCCGGTGTCCCCGGTCCTCCTACAAATTTGTGAGGAGATAGGAAAACAGCATCTTTATAGCTAATAAAAAGGAACAAAAAAGGTTGTCGTTACAGATGCGTATGGTGAATAGAAGTTGTTCTACAAAGCAACACTTAAGCCTAACATATAACTTTTTCTAGTCAAGTTCGCCAATTATTATGAATCCTTCGCTGACTGCTTTTAGCACCTGTACAGTTTAAGGTGGCTGAACACAGTTTCTTGAAACTGATCTGATTTATCCCTTTACTGTGTATTTTAACATCTCATTTTAACATCTTTTACCTCATGAGGAGGTATGCAGCCAATAAGCTTTTAAAGGAAAAAAATGTGAGGACAATCTGAAAAGAAGTTCAATAGAAATTCATTGTTTTTGTCACCTTTGACATATCACGTGACCTAAGCGCGGGTGCATTAAAAAAGCGGTGCGCATGCTTACTTAGGAAGCGATGCGAGAGCGCCTGTTTTTATGACTTTCATAAGCAATGTTAATAAACGACAATATCGTAAAGAGTTATTAACTATTTTTCTTTCTGACTCACCCTGTCCCTGTGGGATTCATATCAATTTGAAGGTATGGTCCAGCAGATGCGTAATCCCAAAATGACAGGGCGCCATATTTGTGACAAAGTTCAGCTACAGCTACTGTGTCTGTTATAATTCCTGTCACATTAGAAGCTGCTGAGAACGCCACGTAAATGTTGTATTCTGCTAAACGATATTTCTGTGTTCAAGAAAACAGAAAACAGAGAACGGTCATGAAATTGCAAATAACTATGGTTGAAGGTTACCTTCATAAAAGTTATTCTCCATTCTTGTCAGAAGAGTATTTTTTCAAAACGTATGTATTCAGTAACTGCAAGCTTAGTTTAGTGAATATCGGTTACTATGATTACGAAATATGACGTCAGAAATTAAGTGAAGTAATATGAGTTTTAGGCGAGACATGCAAACTCTGTATGAAATGCACTCTAGGAAAAAAACTGTTGAATTTCATTAGGGAGTTTTAGCATCGACGACGGCGACGGCAGCGAAAACGTCTCTTTAAAAATTAGTCAGCGTTTTTTCTAACTTTTTCGCGTTTATTCCAATTCGCTGAAAACGTCTAACGTAGGCAAATTTCCCTGGAGTTGATCTCTTAGGGAATGCACTCAAGTTTAGAAAAAGAAAGAAAGATTTATTGTCGCTTGTTTACTTCCTCCATAAAACGTGCGATTAGGCATTTTCACGTCGTAGTCGCGCAATAACGGCAAAGAAATGTACAAAAAAGCGTGATGCTTAATAAACCTATTGCTGATTTGACATTCTCGTTGCCTTCGCTATTGCTAAAACTCCTTATTGTTTGTGAGGGGACATCTTATTACGAATTAAAAACATTTACAATGTGATATTGTTTTCGGAAAAAAATATGTCAAATATTATTACCCTCAGACTGGTCTCTAACATCTCCATGTCGACTGTCCCCTCGTTATTATCCTGAATTCGGACGATCTACGAATAAAAAATATTGCATTTCAATTCTGCAAAACTGTCCCTGAATATAAAGCAGCTCCTTTATACGAACGTAATGTCAACGACCAATGTACGGAATAAAAAAACAGTTCCATGTGAAAGTATTGTTAAGATTTCTTCCAGACTCAAAAGTTAGAACCATCTTGTACAGCATAATTAACTCTGCGATAGAAGGGAAGAACTGCTCAGTAGCTTTAAATTTAGTACACGTTAGTTTTCTATCCACAGACTCAAATGTTAGAACTACCTTTTACAGTGTATTATAAACAGTACCACGGGAAATTACTGCTCAGTAGCTTTTATTTGATTGGTCACAATTAAGGACTTTATCCAGTCTCAAAAGTAGGAACCACCTTGTACAGGATAGTACTGCTTAGTAGCTTTCATTTGAATGGTCACACTTGAGGATTTCACCTACAGACTCAAAAGTCAGCAACATAATGACATCATCCACAGAATCACTTCAGTATCGTTGCTGCAAGGCCTTTTTGACTTATTACCTTTGTGCCAGTTTCTTTCCAAGGTAGGATATTCGAGTGATGCTCAAAAGGACCAACAAAGACAACCTTTTGAAGAAAAGTGAAAAATGGCTTCATTAGCTCATACTCTGTGATTGTGTTATCGACACAGCCTTGTAGAGGCTCTGCGAGGGTGACGTAGACGGCCAAATGCTTTAACAAGGATTTTTGGCCGTCGGGAAAAGCTTTAATGAACCATCATGCGAATTGTACGTGATCCTTGTTTTGTGTTCTTCTAAATTTTGCACACGGACGATTAATAGTCGAAATGTCACAACCACTGCTTTCGCTTGTTACTAACGTTCGTACTTGTGTCTGACTTCATTGTATAAACCTATCCTTGTCGTTGGAAATTCTCTACAAATGTCGGGTACTATTCTGTTATGGGTTTCTTTAAAAAAGGTTTCCCTCTTGAAAGAAATATATATTTTTTATCTTTATTATACTTACAGATTTGCCGACTACTGTTCCTGTTAATTGTAAGGCGTGAATTAACTTGTGGATAGCTCCAGTGGTTCCACTTCCGGTGAACACAACTACGTCATCGGGTCCAGCGTTAACGCACTTTTTTATGATGTCACTGAAGGATAATTATAATATTTAGGTGAATATT